CCGTTAAAAGACTCTGTATCTAGTTTCACACTGGAAAACTGAGTTGCCTGTTAATGCTAACGTCCAGATAGATTTAGTCGAATTAAACACAGTTACTTAGGAAGTCACCCGAACATATAATCATAAATTCCTACATACTTCTCAAATATTTACTTTATTTGTAAAATGACGTTTTATTGTGAAATCAATTACCGGAAATCACATTTAACATTTCCTTTCACTTGACAAGCCCGCTTCAGTTACTGGGGTGGGAAGTTTTTCTCCACTCCTCTCCTCCCAAACTTTTCCTACCTCCTTCGAAAGTCATGACAAGTTTCATTGTGACCTGAGGAAGAGACGCCTAAAGGTAAGGAAGAGCCCGAGGCATCGATTCTCACACACAAATACAAATCCACACACCCGCGGACCCATGATGCTTAAGGACCGATTAGCTGATTGGATATTTGAGTAATCGATTGTTGGAGCGAACGACTAAAAGCTGGTCAATTTGGATGTTCTTCTAAAGTTTTATGGTGAATAGATGATCACACACGTGAATGTCTGTTGTCATTAGCAGTACTTATAAGTTTATAACACGTTGTTTTTATTATTATTGTAACTACAGGGGGAAAACATCCGTAGAAAATAAACTTCTTTACACAATGATGTTAAATTTATGTATGTTTCTTATATTTCAAGTTTTTTATATTTTGGTTGTTTCTATCACATCTAATAAATCCAATGATTTGGGTTTTTTTTTGTTTGTCTTAAAATTAAGATTAATGTTAACAAACAAAGCAGAAAATTGTGTATTTTATGGGTCTAATTATATGTTATTATATGTTAAATTCAGACTTGGTGTTGTTGGTACAGTAGATCTGAGGCAGACAGAGGATAAATAGCTGCTCGCAGACACTGTGGCGGGTGAGGCCGTTTCAGAACTGTGGACGGAAATTCCCCCTTAACTCTGTTGTCAGAAGTGTCTGTAATTTTGCTCTGCATTGTCTTAGTTCCCACAGGATTCCGGAGTACAGTCCTCCCCCCCCTGTATTTGTTGATGTTCAGATTTAGTGACACTGGTTTGAACCAAGACCTTTAGCAAAGGTCACTTCCAGATATTTACAGAAGGTGCTGTTGAGTTTGACAGAAAGTAAAGTTGCAGAAATCCTCTGTAGACACTGGAAAAATACTGAAAAGTCCTACTGTTTATTTATTTATTTATTCTTATTATGGAGCGTTATACAGCCTTTCAGTGTGTTTTAACTATTATATACTAATTGATAATTATCTTAAAACACACAAACCATTAACTTAAGCTGAAATATGATGTTTCAGTGTGAATGGAGAGTTATTTAGAGGAAATATAAGTTAACAACCAATGAACCGGATATATGGAGTTTGAATGGACTCATAAATAAACCTGACTGACAGATTAATAATTCAGTAGAAATTACAGGGGATGATCACCGCATTACTGTCACCACCCATTGAACTGTCACATTGTCCTTATTGTATTGATGGTTTGAGTGTACAGACCCCATGTAATAATAATAATAATAATAATAATTTTATTGATCCCACTCTTGGGGAAAACTCTTGTGTTAACAGCAGATCAGATCCATCAGGCTGCCCCTTGGAGGAACCACATATGTGGACTATCTGCTTTCTGCTTCCTAGTCAGGTGTACGTTAGTACCACATAATGGAACCACCTATGCGTAGTATTTATACTTTTTATATCACTTACAATTACAATTACAGTAATTGCAATGATCTAATCTATGCTCAGGATAGTCTTAAGATTTTTGTTCAATATTTTGCAACCATTTTCATCTACCGGTACTTATGTTTTTCCCCCGTTAGACTTGAATATTCGTGTTCATTTATGCAGGTTTTATCTAAAAAAAGGTGACATGGTTTACTTCAATTTATCCCAAAAATATCAAATTTAGACAAAGAAAAACATTTTTTCTACTCCTGTTATTTTAAATGTGTACAGTACAAAACTCCTAATGGTTTTCCTTAGCTCTCTCAAGAGAGAGGGGACTGTTGCAACAGGACCCTGGGGTTTGACTTACCACAGTCACCTCAAAAATAGATGCACAGTATGGGGTGGCAGCAGGTCAGTGTAACACACCAGTAGTCATTTCTCACTGCAGTCTCTGAAAAGGGTGAGAAGTGAATTTTCTGTCAAAGACGCTTTTCCAGTGCATGCTTTCTTTACCTTGTTTGCCACTTAGACTTGATTGTGAGTTTATTTAATTACACCTGAATTAAATTTGGCTCAATGTTCTTGTTCATGAGCCCTACAGACTAATAAAATGCATGCTGTTGTATAATTAGAGCGATTACATTTGCTTTTAAATTTAGCACCCCGACACTCCATGCTGCTTGTGCTGGAGTGTGAAAAGTAAAAGCTGAAATAACAAATGCTACGTACACAGTTCAGTATGTCAGTTGAAAACGCAAAGCCTGCTGGGATACTGCATACATGGCCCATGCAATGACAGCCAGCGGTGAGCAATTCTTATTTTTCCGCACTTCTGGTCAGTTGTGAGGTAAAACAGTGTGTCAAGGTGAACACACGGCTCCTGACATTTCTCTTGCGCAGACACAGGGGCATCTATAATCTGAAATAAAGCATAGCAATATATTGTGAAAAGTAAATATTTGGTGTTCAGGAGAACTTTAAAACCCCAAATATTTATCTTTTGAGGACTTTATCCCACAATCCGATGAGTCTTGTGACAATTATTATGAAGTTCTGGTGCATATATTTGAAAAGGGTAATGCCACTTAAACCTCAAATGTAAATTTTCCAAACAAGATAAACAGTTACAGCCGCAAATGCTAGTTGGCAACAATTGGTCTTCACCAGTGCTTGGTGAAGACCAATTGTTGCAGGCATTATAATTTTAGAGCTAGTTGGCAACAATTGGTCTTCACCAAGCACTGATACAGGCATTATAATTTTAGGTTAGATGCATTGCAATTCATCTTAATATTGTTAAAGAACCACTGTTCAAAATAAGTGACAACATGTAGCTGCAGCAATGATTAGATTAAATGGAGTAAAAGTTTCACGGCATCAGAGTGTGACAGTTGGTCATGGACACAGTGAAGTGCTTTTGTTGGACACAAAGATGTCCTCTGTTCCCTCAGGATATCATTGTGCTGTAAACCATCCCAAAAATGCAGTGATCATTAAACTCAGACACGTTTTTCTTAATGGCGCTTATGTTTAAAAGTTAATTATTACCACCTAGATAGTTACATTATTATTACCCAGTGGTTCCTACATCTTTTTCCTGCAGCCCAAACCCATTTATAGACAGGACTACAAAGCAGATGAGGCAGTTAAATTTTGGCACAAATAAAGAATATAAAGTTGTGACCAAACTATATTTTAATAATTTTATGAAGCAGCTTAATCCAGCCTATGTAATCTAGTGTTTCTCAAAGTAACTGAGGTCTTTTAAGTCTGTCTAATTTTGTCGTCGCTGCCACTCTATCCATCATAGGGTATTGCATATTAGTGTCACCAAAGTACCTATGTTTATAGGAGTTAAAATGGTGTCTTTACACTTCAACCAATTCATCACCACAATCAGGCTTTACATCTTGTATCACTAGGAAATATATATTTTGGTAGGTGTAAAAACCTATTTGCCATGGTAATGGTAATAGATGCATTTAGGCAGGGGGTTGACTGACACTGGCAATGTGTTTGATGTTTATTTTTGTAACCACTTCATAGAAATTATGGCACTATAAAAAGTAAACATGCAAATGGTGTGTGCTACTTTACCTTAGTGGTCTGTTCCCAAGGTTTGAGTGGTTTATTCTACTTATAACCAACAAGCCGGGATATAAAGCCTTTTCATTTAAAGGAGTTTTTGCAACAAAGTCAGCTCGCTGCAGCAACAATAATACTAAAAACAAGAGAGAACAATTTCCCTTTTACTTATATTTTTGTCCTTGGGCACGTCAAGCGATCTTTTGTCAAATGTTTTTCTTTGTTTTCCCATTTGCATGCTCTGTTAACTTAACTGTTGTTGGCAACTTAGTATTACTCCCTGGCTGATTGTAGTTATTTTTCTTTGACCAAACTTAACTTTAACAAAACTTATACTTATTTTAATTTGGTTGGCCTTTGCCTGCCTCATCTCTGTTCTGTAAATACCTACAATGACAAAACAAATTGTAATTCCGTTATATAACATGGCAAAAGCAAAAGAGTATGTGTTATACAGGGTGAGCTGCACAAACGCTGTTTTTATCAAGTTTTCCAAAAGTTCTCTAATGAGATTAAAAGCAGCTGTTATGAGAGTCTAAAAGGAAATTCTTATATTTTCAGAGCTATCTGCTGAATCACATGGTGATTGTATAAACCCTGTACTGATGTAGTGCCCGAAGCCAAAGCAATGAAAAACAGAGAGCAGATGCTTTACTGCTGTGTCAGACAACTACTCCTGGTTGGCAAAAGTAATAAAAGCTGGAACGCTTTCCAAGCTGGAGGCCATTTATGTGAGTGAGTCAATGTGCAGGAGGTTATTGCTTAAATTATGCACTTTTCCCAATTAGTTTGCTGTTGATACAGGATTGATCATGCAACTTACGGCTGAGACAAAGAGAGTAAAAGCAGCAGGTGCAGTAACTGTTAAGAGTTGAAGAGGAAGGTGAGCAGTAGAGGAGGCAGACGGAATGGGAATGCGCACATCCCAAAAAAGATGTCTCTGGGCAGCCTGTTACAAAGACGGACTGGTGTGTTGGCAGCTTCTGTCGGTATCCTGAGAAGTAAACAGAAGAAAACAGTTAACCGGGAGACAGCAACTGATTATTGTTGTTATTATTGTGATGAGAGACTGTAATCTCCAACTGCATTCACATGATGTTAGACACATCTCTTAAGGGGAAAATCACAGCAAGTCCATCTGTGTCTTGCAATGTGAAAGGAGTCAATTGTTCCACTGTAGTGTCACTTCATAACTCAGTTGTTTTGTACTGAATTTGAGATTTGGAAGTCAAGTTGATTGTGTTAAGGAAGCAGCACTTTTTAATTAACCTATGACTCGTGACTCTCTGAAATTCTGAAGCTGTCCAGTCTGTAATGGAGTTAACACTATATACAAACATGTTTGACTTGTTGGTTCTTCAGAGATAGGTTGTGTTTTTGAAAAAATAAATATTCAACACAATTTATGGGATTAATCTGTTTTTGACATTAAGGTTAAATGAAGACAGTACTATGTTCTACAGTATTACTACGTCTTTATGTAATGCGTTCACAGTTTCAGTTCAGTTTTCTCACCTGGCAACTATTCAAAATTTCAAATATATCAAGCCTGATTTTTAACCTGTTTTTAACTGGATTTGGTTTCTTTAAACTGTCCCCTGAAAAAGATGGAAATCTACCTCAGCTTGTTTAGTGGCTGCTGAGAGTTTGTAAGGAGAAGAAAGTAAAGAGGGAATGTTATTTGTATGGCACATTTGCAGTTAGTGGTATTGAAGTTCCATTCCAATACAAAATGCAAATCAAGAAATGTTTAAAATGTATTTTCTACATTTTACATTTTAAACCAAATGGAGACACAGTGATACAGTTAGCGCTGTTGCTTTTAAGGACACAAGATTGCCAGTTTGAATACTCGAGCATACAAGGGCCTTTGTGGCTGTGTCCCAATTTAGGCTTCACTATGTGGGCTGCAACCAAATGTTAAATAGGTTTCCCTTTGTACGTGATATTGTGGTGACATTGTGTCATGAGCTGCACCTATTAAAGTGACAGCCAATAAAGCTGTGTAAATAGGTTTGGGATATGTGTGACTGCATAACATACAAGATGAGCTCCATGGTCACTGGTGGTGGTATTTGTTGTTGTAGGTTTTTACTTGTGACTCTTAACTAAGACTTTTAACATGGCAGATGCATGAATGAATGAGCGAATTGTCTCAGGATCATGAGATACCACAGATAAACCAAAGACAGATGCTCCAAGATGAATGATTCTCATAAACAAACAAATTAATGGAATCATGTTAAACTGGTTAGTCTGATGTTTTATAACATGATCATTAGATAATTCATTTTATCTTTTACATAAATCACTTAGCATCTCTCATTTTGTTCATACAAGAAACTGGACAACAACACACATAGTCACATTGGATTAAAGGAACTTAATGTGGAAAACAACTGGATATAAACAACACAATATAATTCACCCATCTTCCAACCATCCATCCTCTACCTTGTTCTCCTGTTAAGGGTAATTGTTGGAAACACTTTATCAAAATGTTTAACTACCTGATATTCCTTTCCCAGAGAGGTCATCAGTTCAGCTATTAATTGCAACATTGTCTGCTGTTATTGGATAGTTTACACCGCCTACAAACAGCTAGACAATCTAAAGGAGGGTTCCTGGATTAATTTATGTGCCTGTCAGTGAGGTCTGCAATTGCTGCTGCAGTATCCCTGCTGTCTGAGAAACAATACAACAAAAACCCATCATCTAAAAATGCACATGTTAATTTACGTAAGTATCGTCAGGGTTTGGGAACGAGATAATCTTGGTTTGTGCACTCACATCTGGTTGAGAAACACCACACACTGCAGCATCGTGTGATGTTCTTCACTTTTCGGGCAGCTTGTGTGTTAAAGATTTAATGGTAACTTATTTTAAACAATAAATGGATGAAAATGTTGACTCCTGAGTCTCGAGCACTGAAATCATCAGATTCCTGCTCTGCATAAACCAGCTGCGTCTCTCCAAAAGAATCAAACCACGGCTGCTTTTGGAAAAGCTTAGTCCATGCAACAGTGGTGCCAGAAACCCTCGAACGCCATTTTTATTTTTGGAATACACAATGAAAGTTTTGTGGTTGCATTCAGACCTTCTCTGTCGCCATCGTAAAAATGTCCACACACTGTTTCTGCTTGTGCTTCCTGGTGCCTGAGAGGAGTCTGAGGTGCCGAGCGAGTGAGACCTTGAACTCAAGTTTCACTCTTCAGAACAGGGGCCTAGTTTCCTAAAGGCAGGGGCAGCACAGAGATCACCTCTGTTCACTGGCTCATAATGGAACAAATGTTGTGTTTTGGTGCTGGGATGTCTGTAGAAAAGCAACCCCTGCCCTATGAAGTCATAGAACAAAATGCAGAAAAGACAAAACACTGCCATGTTCCACCCACACTGCAGCTGACAAATCAAAAAGAAAGTTGCTTTTGTTTTCCCACTTTTTATGTTCCATTTTATAGTTGACATTATTTTTTTGGAGAAGTTTAAGCATCCGCCCTGTGGCTTTAAAGGAGACTTTATAGAAAAATTTGAATATAGTCCACTTAATTATGTTGCAAGTCGAAGCTTGAGAAAAAAAGTGTCCTCTGAAGCCCAGATGAACTTATCTATGAAGGTCTTACCAATTCACTGCATTATAAAAAACTGCGATAAAAGTTCACAAACATGCATTTTCCACGGGAGCGGTTCTTTTCTCAGTAAAGATGCGTTTTAAAGCCTTTCAAAGTCTTACGTATGTGTCCTCTGCCTTGTCATTACCCTGTGACTCTTCATCAAAGAGATGCTAAACTGGTATAATTTCTGCCACTGAAGAAAATAACATGATAACACACACATCGTAGTTGTTTTTCTCAGAAGAAAAGCAGAGTCTGACATCTGGTCTTTTTCTGTCGTTTGTGTATTAAACCATCTGGAGACGGCAGTTGCTACTGTTGTCTCCAGATGGCTTGATGGTTGATGGAAACAAATCGGTCAGAGTCTCCCCATAAACCTAAATCTCTAGACCAGAAATGTAGGTCATCTAAAATAAACATTAGCAATCATGGGAAATAATTCCCTTTTTTATTTGCTTTGACTACAAAATGTTTTGTTTGAAAATGCAAAGATTAGATTATTTAAAGCAGATGAAAATCAGTGTGTTGACATCTACAGCTGGGGACAGACTACACAACTTTCAGTTGTAGAATGCAAAAACTAACAGACTAACTCGGCCTGATGAGGGATAATAGACCTCACGGTTTGTCAAACTAACTGCAGCCAACTGAATGCATCAAGTGTTACAGAGGTGGAACAGAGGGATATGCATGGGAGCTGTGGGTAAAATCTGGCAAAATAATCTTGTTTTGTGTCACTTACATTTATACAGGATTGTTTGTGTTGTTTTTGTGTCACTTACATTTATACAGGATCGTTTGTCATGGTTCTGTTAAAGCCTGTGAAAACCTAAAACACATTAGAGCTAAAAACTTGGAGAGTTTGGAAAAATTGAAGAAAAGTAAGTTTTGAGCCCCAGTCAACTTGTTGCTGCTCTACATGTTGTGGATGAAGTCTCTGTAGGCAGTAAACTTTATGCCATCATTGTTTCCACAAGTCAGGTTCTGTGGTTCCATATTTACTGGATGAACAACAGCAGTACAGTTTTTCCAACTAATGCAAATTGTTGTGTTTGGCTTTTTTCGTTCTTGTAAATTGATGCAGAAATGCCTTTTTAATGATTTCTAAGCATTTACAGTTCCCTAAACAGGCCAACTTTTCACAGAAACAGAATCTATTGGCAGTGGTCTCTCTTTCTCCTTCCTTTTGAACTTCCAGTCCAGTTTGATCGCCAATTATCCTTTAAAATGCTCAGAGATCCACAGTAATTGTACTGAATTCACTTTGTGACACTTTGTGACATGAAGGGGGAGGGAAACGGCCAGGCCTCCCAACTTTTGGAAAACATCGTCTTCACAAAGAGGCACAATGGCTCATTGTGGAGGCTGAATGTTCCTGAATGTGTTTGCGGGAATTTGGAAGGAAAAGGGAGGAAAAGCAAGCTGACTGTGACTTAGGATGTTTTTGTCCTTTAACACACAGTGAAAGACAACTAATATTGACAAACTTATTAAAAAGGACTAAATAACAGTGTGTGTTTATAAGGAATAGATAAGAAGATAAGGTACCGTTATGTGCTACTGTTACTGAATGTGTGAGTTTAGTGCAGAAAAAGACTGGAGTCCTCACCATCATCATGTGATGTCCAGCTCTGAGCTGTTGTTGGCTGCAGTAGATGTTTGTGTCGGAGGTTTTATTTGTTCAGCACTTCACTTTTGCCTCATCCCAGTCTTCCCAGCATTTTCCTGCTGCCTTCAGGAAGCAGCTTTCAGAGTTGCCTGATGGTCTTCCTGGCAGGACATCCCTTCATCCCTTCCCTAAAGTTCCTGCTGCAAGACAATAGGAGGTCTCCTGCAGGGGCATGGAACAGTGTATGTGTGTATATTAGAGTGGGAGGATTTATTAAGAGAAAAGCAGGCTTCCCTTTAGGAAACTGCACATTTGTCTGAGCAGCAGTGTTAAAGGTCTTTTACTGTGTTTTTCCATTTTCTAAGGCTCAACAACAGATTAGGCTTTGGTGTAGTTGGGGTAGTGACCTCCCCTTGTTATTAATATTATTTTTGCAAAATAGATGATCTCTATTTCTAAAGAGAGTACACATAAACAGTTTTCACCATTAGGCTGGGTGACCTATCTGTTCTGTGGAGCTGTAGACCCCCAATGATCATTTAGAAATGTAAAGCAACAAATCAAACAATAAAATTTAGTTTAGAACATAAAACAGGTTTCACCTGAAGGCTAGGGTAGGCTAAGATATTTATTAGCCTAACCTAGCCTGATTCTAATTTAGTGTCTTATTATTTATTTCTACTGAGGATCACTAGCCTGATTCTAATTTAGTGTCTTATTTTATTATTTATTTCTACTGGGGATCATAATTACACAGAAACATGGCAAATTATTTTAAAATAGAGGGAAATGAGAAAAAAACTGAGTGGAGTGTCCAAACTGCTGAATACACTAACAACCATCAGTTAAACCTAGTTAAAACCTAGGATCTAAGGTGACAGCTGTACCCTGCATGGTATGGCTATAGGAGTGGAGGCCTCTGCTTGTGATTCATGTCTCTGTTTCCGAGTTCCACCAGATTTCTGAATGGGCCCTTTTTTCTCATGTAAAGTGGTCAGAAAGTTGTTGTCAGTGAGAGAAGATGTTGGCATTCAGACTGCCTGTCTCTCCCTCTCCCCGCCTCTCCTTAAAAAACGTGTGGCATCGGCGGTGAGGTCACAGTCTGAGAACATGGCCCCAGCCTCAGACCAGCTCATATTCTTTTCCATGAAACAGCACAACTCCCTGCCCACATCTTCTTTAGTATCATCACGGCACTCTCTCTGCTCTTGGCAGTTGTCAAGGAAGTCACATGCTCCTACTAAATGTAAAGGAACAAGTGATTGAATAATGAAATCGTTCTGCTTGATGTTCTCAGGGAAACACGTTCAGACATTTTAGATAAGTTGTTTTCTTTTTGTTTGTCCCAGACTGTGAAGGACACTGTAGTTTAATGTGCATAATGCAAACCCAGCAAACCTAAAAACCACGTTTATCTGCTGCATGCATTCGGTGCTTCAATGTGAAGTTAGTGTACTTGCCTTACAGCCCGAAGATCTTGTTCCATTTCCTGCCTGTCTGTATGAAATTTGCATGTTTTGCCCTCTCCAAGTACTCTGGTTTCCTCCCCAAGTACAAAAACACGAAGGATTAGGATTTTGCTCCAGCCGCCTGGAATAGCGAGAAAGATAAAAAAAATTAAGATCAAGGAATTAATGATAACAAACAAAGCTCATTTAAACGTAGCTCCACTAACTTGAACCTATATCACTCATGGTTCCTATGGAGTGATAAAACTAGACTTGAATTGACTACAATCTTAACCATTCTCCACTCTGTACATTCACAGTAAAAAAATGTGGTGTTTTCCCGAACACATCTTTAGACCTATATTAAAGCCACTCTGGTGCCAAAGTATCTATTATGACCCTTGACAATCAAGTTTGTGTGTCTGGGTGAGACTTTCAGCTGGTCCAGACTAAAGGTTTAGGGAAAAGGAATGCAGTGTCTCAGTGAGGTCTGTAATTTGCTGCTTGTCATCAAATCAAAGAAAAAAATGCAGCACTTGAAATGCAACACTTGAGAAGAGCTGAGAGGTGTGCCAGTGTCTGTCAGTGTGTGTTTTGGGGAAGAGTGAGAGATGAGAGTCATGTGAGAAGAAATGACTTTTTGTAAATACGTAAATGCAGGATTGAATTTTTTTATTCTGTTTTATTTAACCAATTGCTGTGGGTATTATTAGTCTAGAGATGATAATTAAGTAATCAGTCACAGTGCGCTTGTTGTTATCTCATCCTCTCTACTTTGAGTAGAGCTGTAGACCTGTCTGTGAGGGTGTACTGAAAAACCTCATACTGTACTACAGTTAGACTTGAACTGGTTGGGTTATTCGGTGTATTACAGGTCTACAAATATTGATTAATTTTTTAAACATCTGTCTATAAATTATGTTGGTTATGGTTATCTACTGTAGGAAGAACAAAACTAGACTGTATATTTCCTCTACCTATATCTACAAACCTCATTCCATACATCAAGGTTTAGTACATTTTCAATAGGGAAAGTAATGCAAAACAAAGAAACAAACAAAAAACCCCATCAATAAAAACAAACAAACAAACAAAAAACCCCATCAATGTGAACATTTCTATGTTCACATTAATTCAGTCCAAAGAATCTCGGAATGTTCTTAGGATAAGGTTTAGCTTATGTAGCACAGCTTTGGCAATGGTGTTGGATCACTTTTGTGTTCTGGGAGAAAAATAAATTGGTGATTTAGTTCTGCTTACATTATCCTAGTTATGCAGTCTGAAAATATAACATTGCATTTACTGTTGGAAGTAAAAACAGGTACAGGTTACAACGCTTCTGAGTGTTTATAAAAAAAACAGCCTTGGCCCCTGTTCTGTGAACATGTGTACCAAATTTAGTGAAAAACTCAGGCATTCTTTAGACACTGTTGTCAAGAGTGAAACAGATGGACCACCCAAAAACATACAGTCCGCCTGTCACTTGCTGTCTGCCTAAAGTCACACAGACATGTAAGGACCCATTTCAAGACAGTTGATGCCCCGTTTGATGGCACAATGAAGGAAAAAAGGAGATAGAAAACAAATTCCAGAATTTCCAATACGTATAAAAACAAACGTCCAAAGGATTTAACCTCATAATTGCTCCTAATTACCTTGTTTTTTATTTAACTGCTTAATAAACAGGCATCCATGAACCATGTGCAATGATTGAATGTTTTGGATAACTTGTTTTCATATACAAAACTAAATTCAAATTGCTGCTCTCTGATTTTGGCCAGCGTAAACCACCAGATTCAGATCATATTCTTCAAAGTCTCTGTGTGACTGTGTTTACTGTGGTCTGAGAGAAGCAGCTGACAGAAACACTGAGCAGGAACAGATAACCTGCTGAATGAGATCACTGTTTTCCATGTACTTTTTCTGTTTTTGCCTTAATGCGTATTATAATACATTGGTTAGCTATAACAGCCTACAGTATTACACGTGCTAATTGGTGATCTGTCTGGTTGGATCCCGTTGGACCTTCTGACAAAAAGCTGTCTGTCAGTTGAAGTCTAAAATGGCAGATAATCTGACTGCGCCTGTGGATTATCAGCAGTCACTCAGTCAGTCAAAAGGGCAACCAGTGTGTTGCAGCAGCATGTGTTCGTGTAGGAATGTGCCTGAGGCTGTTGAAAAACACATCTCTGAGTGTGTGCGTTTGACACAAAAATGAATGATTACGTGTCAGTTTGTGTGTGTGTTTGTGTGTGAGGGGAGCAGACTTACAGTACCTAGTTAGTTTTTTTTATCTGCAACTGTATATTGTCAAGATACACAAACAAGTCATAGATTTGAACCCGAAGTTGCTTTTTGCCTTGAACCACATTTTTATAACACATACATAGAGACAAGAATCTATAAAAGTCTCTCAAGGATCCAACACCTGTGATTGTGAAGTTTGTGGCAGCAGACTCATGTCTCTCTTCGAAGAGTTCTGGCATCTGATTTATTTTGACAGATGTTGGGAAATATTGCCAGGGTTCACTGCAGATTCTACTCGATGATTCTTGTCTTTAAGTAGGATTACAGCTCAGAGGAAAATAAAGTATTTTGTTGGTCTGACCAAAACAGACATGTAAACAGTCTGAAAAAAACTTCGTAAACTGCTTAAAGTTTAGGACTTAAATCTCAAAATGGAAAGGGTTACCTTTTTTGGCAGATTCAGAACAAAGTTAATCTTGTCTCTATGTAGATTTACCAAGAGTTAATAGAAAAATCAATGATTACAAAGGAAAACATTCATCTTATCTGAAAACATTTCAAAATACACAGAAAGTGTTAAAATTCAATATTTGCCTAAGCTAACGTGTAGAAAACAAACTGGTAATTGGAGATAACAGTTTAGCCAGAGCTCGACTTTAATGCATGGATATTTACTGTGTTTCTCCACTTAGTAATTCAATATTTTTACCTGGTGCTGTTCCTGTTCGTTTGCAGGGTCTTTGACGACCTTTGTCTTTCTCTCTTACAGGGCTGTCTGGAGCTGTAACCGGGTTATCAGCCTGAACTCCAGCTGCACGAGTTGTTTACTGATGACCTAAGGGTAACAAACAAATCAACTGCATTACAAAAAAGCAATTATCATTATTTTTTATTAATATACACTTTGAGGTTCCAAAAATATATATTTACATTAATTTCAAGCATTAGGAAAAACTGAAAAACCTGGATAAAACTAGTGAATTCCTTCAAAGTCCCAAGGGCCAAGTCTACTGCTTGAATTGGAACGAAACTAAAGTTTTGATGTGCTGTAAGAAAATGGCTGACTTCACTTAGTGCATATGGCATGTGTCCCTTAAGTACAACATATGAACACAGAGGAAACACCTGTAGCTGAAAGTCAGGATGATGGGAACATTTTTTTTTCTTTTTACTTGTCACTTTCTCCTTGACTATGTTAAAATGTTAATACTGTTTCTCTCTAAGACATTTACAGTTATTTTAGAATGTGTGCATTTAAGTATATATTTAATTGTATATATAAACTTAATTGTAAGATATTATCTATGCATCTGTTAGAAATATAAGAAATTACTCTAATGCAAACCAGAAGTTATACTCAAGTAAAGGCATTTTTTCTTTATAGCTGTTAATTATGTTCTTAGAGCAGAGAAATAGCTGATTTGATATTGGTCATGTGATTAAGACAGTCCAGTGGTCTTGAAATCGAGCAGCAGAACTTATATCTATGTTTGATTTAGTTATTTCCCTGACTCTTATCTAGGTATTTACATGCAGATACTTGCACACACATGCACCACAGGCTCACTCTGAGGTATAAATGATGTCATTTTCAATGTCCTTCAACACTTTTTAGGAAGAAAAGCAAACAAAAGGTCCACTTAACAAAAGCTCTTTATCTCTTCAGAAATTAGTCACAGGTCACAAGTGTTAACAAGCCACAAAAACACAGACTTCTTTAGGGCTCTTTGCCCTTTAAGACGTTCATATCTGCAATAGTATCGAGCTGACAGTATAGAGCCAAGTTTAAAGTTAATTAAATCAACTTTACCAAAGAGAACACATTTATGTGAACATGTTATTTTGAAAAAAAAAAAAATGAAACATGCCTGTCAGCAAGGTCCTACGGATGCCAACCAGGATTGATAATTGCCTACTTGTGGAGTTGACATGTTTTGTCAGTTCTGTCTACATTTTCTAGCTCCACCCTCACGCCAACAACATGCACTAGGATTTAAGGCTTATACTCCACACTCCACACTGAAGATGTGTTTATTGGCGTCCTGACAAGGACTTCTCTTGTGTTCCCCATTTCCTGCTTTTTTATCCAGTGTCAAAAGGGAACGGTCACCATGTCGACCTGTGACCTTTAACAATAAATGAATGCAAGACCCCACACAGGCATTTGCATTTCTTGGTTATTGCATTAGATTAAAAATGTGTGCTAAGATTTTAGTTAACACCTAGCAGTGAAGGTTACATTCTTCCTAAGTACATATATTGACTTTGAATTCTTGTGTTGTTTGTTTTCTCATCTCAGTGCTAATTGGATGCTGTGTGTGACGAAAAGTCCCAGTCCACAAAAATGACTCAGTCAATGCAAGTTAATCCAAAACTGCCTGGTAAGAAATGATGCAAAGACTCTTCTGTTTCACTTTTTTCATTTTATAACACTTTAAAATGTGATTGTTTTACAAAAATAAGTTTAATAATTGTGGTTTTAATATTTTACTAATGGCCAAAAGGGTCAAACCACTATTGCATTCCTTTGCCATAACAAGTTTTTTACTTTTTTCTTTAGAGTTGCGCTCCCCATTCATTTACTCCAACCAGGAAGAGCCTGATCAGCCAGGTTCTTATTCTGTTCAAACACCCTATGGTTTTCAGCTGGATCTGGACTTTCTCAAGTATGTAGAGGAAATAGAGAGTGGACACAATCTCCGTCGAGGACATATCAACTCTCGTCGACTGGGTAGAGGACTTAAACTCTCCCAGAGAAGTAACAGCGTGGGAGGGCGTACTAGTGGCTGGACGTCCACAGAGTCTCTTTCATCGACAGTCAGTGAAGATGGGAAAATACCTCCACCTCCACCACCTCGTAATCGCCTTGGCTCAGCACCATGCGAGGGCCTCGCTCTTTCTCCTGTAACCCTCCTTACTGTTCCTCCACTGTCTGCTGGAGCTAAAGTCCCACCCCCTCCTCCACAGCGCAATCCCAGGGTTGAACGAACTCTACTGGAAACCAGCCGGCGTCTACAACAGGAACAAACCAACCTGCATCAGAATGGTGGAAGATTCCAGCTTGCAGATCCTCCAAAACAGCTCTTATCCTCACCATCCCCTCAGCTCCTACACAGTAGCTGGTCTAAACCCAGTCCTCAGACCTCTGGGCACAGTACACCAGCTGCAGGGTCAGCAGTGACTCCGATCCCTCCCAGCCAACTGCAGACAGTAAGGGAGCAGATGGCTACAGCTCTAAAGCAGCTGAAAGAGATGGAAGAAAGAGTTAAAGGTGTTCCTGCACTAGAAAAAGAGGTGGCCAACCTGCGTGAAGAGAAGGACATGCTCCTCTTGGCTCTGCAGGAGAAGAAGCTAGCTATAGAGGAGGCCAAGCAGAGGCAAAAGTCTACAGAGTCCTTTACCCAAACAACAGAGATCCTTCACACCCAAAGTGTTCACCAGGTCCACAGTCATTCTCCAACCTCATCAGCTCTCAAAGCCATTATAAAAACTGGTGAATTGAAAAAGATAGCTGAAAAATTTGAGGCAAAGGATAAGAGAACTACAGAGCCTTCGACAGCTGTAGTTAAAGCTCCAGAGCAGGTATTAGCTGTCAAGAAAAAATCAATAGCCTCTGGGGAAGACACGCCAATGGACTCCATAGTTTGCTACCCCAGCCTGGGTAGAAGAGATGTTTCTGTAGAAAGCAAGGTGAATGTTTGTGAGAAATGTACTGGAACAGAGTTCCCGTTGGGTCATGAGAAAGGGATCCAGGCCATAGTTCAGACAAAGGAGGCTGAGGTTTGGGTCATGGAGTCACTACTTGGACTGACCACTGAAGCACAGCGCGAAATTGACACCTTACAAGACACCATTAAATTCCAAAAGGATACAATTGTTTCTTTAAACGATCAACTGAGTTCAGTCAATAAAGACCTAGAAGTCATTAGAGGTCATTTAAAAGAGAAAACCTCCAAAGTTACATTTGAGAAAGGGGTTCTTGCAAAAACAGACACGAAGAATGCTGAGGTAGGGACAGTGCCTTTTGTTGTAAAGCATGTTGCAGTTTTATGCCGCCAAGAAATGACAGACGCATGTGTAGGTGATGTTTCTATGGTAAATAAAAGAGAAGAGGAAACCCAGACAGAAGAGTCAATGAAACCAGCTACCAATGCACTGGTCAGCACTGGGTGTCAATGGGAGAACTTGTTTGAGGAAAACATTGAAGAGCAGAAGATTGCAGTGCCAAAGAGGAGACAGTTGACCATCAGTGACTACAAAGTTTGTCCAGAAGAAGAGGTGGTTAGCATGGCCAACGACGAAGATGAGGACCCGGAAGAAAAGAGTGCAGCCAGCAACTCCAACACAGGTAAGAGCTTAATTAATGCATGAGTTATTTTAATGATCTATGTTTCTCCAACTCTTGTCTGACATTTGTGCTTTCTTCTGGCAATAGGAATGTTAAAATCAATTATGAAAAGAAAAGATGGAAGTAACTCCGGAGAAAGTCGCACAACTGGCAAGAAGAGCCTACAGTTTGTTGGGATTCTAAATGGAGGGTGGGTGATAACTATTATTTTAATTTTAACAACAGACAGAGCAGGTCGAGCTAAACAATGATACAAAATACATCTATTAGGAGCAAAGGGAAAGGTTGGGTTTGGATCTGGTCATTCATAGCAAGCCTTCGAGGAGACTCACTAGTGTTGGTCTAAATAAAACATTTTCTGTGTAGGGCATAGTTTTGTCTTTCTTCTGAAAATTTGGATTGATTTGAGACCTAATAATGTGATAACCTTTCACTGAGTGAAACCAAATAAAAAAAAACTCATAAAATATTTTAACATTTAATAACATTTTACTACATTTGTTGTTGACTGGTAGCATTCCTAAAATATAAATGCAATTTAGGATCTCCTGTATATTACATTTTCAGGTATGAGTCAACTTCCAGTGAGGATGAGGAAGAAGAAGATGGTGACGATGATGAAGAGGAAAATCACAGTTCCTCTGGAGAGAGTGGAGAAGGTGAATGCTTGGACAGCACAGAAGATGAGGCAGCACTTGAGGAAGAAACATCTGACGAGGAGAGAAACGTCAATCTAGACGAAAGTGACACAGATGAGGAAACTCTTAGAGCTGCGAGTTGTTCATCGGATATTGTGAAAGAGAAGTGAGACATCACTGACACATACAAACTAAAGGCACTGAGCTTTTCTGAAGTTTAACTCTATTTGTGGTTTTGTTACAGGTTTGAGCTGAGTTCAAAGATGTGTGAAGCCTGCCTAATACTGAAGAATCACCTAAACGATGACAGCAAAGCACTTAAGAGTAAAGAAGTGGTGCGTCACCCGAGTAATCCTTCAAATTGTATCTACAATTATTTTTTTTCTCACCAGTATTGCGGTAGAAATAAAAAGTTATAAACAATGAAACTTAATTGGAACTATTTTGATCCTTTTTTGGATCCATGTTTTATTTTTAAGATAAGCAAAAAAAAAAAAAATGTTATATTGATATAGCTTTATATATATTCATGTACATATAAAATTATTTTATTTAATTATTGACATTGCATATTATCAAAATGAGCAAAAATTGACATTGAACTTCACCCTCAGCTTTCCAGCACACACACTGTGCAGCTAGAGTGGTTCAGAATTTCCAGTGCTAAGATGGCCCAAACTTCACGTGTCTCCGACTATCTCATGGCGTTCTCAGAGGTGTCGTTATCGCTGTTGGAACATGTAGTCAACATGACGGATGGCAATGGAAACACTGCTCTTCACTACAGTGTTTCACACTCCAACTTTGGTGTGGTTGGGCTGCTGCTGGACACAGGTTGGTAGTAAAACATCCTTAAACTAGAGTAAACAATCTACGAGACAGCATCACTCACCATCATTCAGTTGGACAACGTGCCACAGTAACAGAAGCATGTACTCTGCAGGGGTGTGTCATGTGGACCAGCAGAACAAGGCAGGCTATACAGCCATTATGCTGGCTGCTCTCTCTACTGTGAAGGAAGAAGACGACATGGCAGTTGTCAAAAAACTCTTCAGTAAGGGCAACGTCAACGCCAAAGCCAGCCAGGCAAGTGGGCCCAGTGTATTTCTTTTTCTTTCTACTACACTACAGTTATGCTGCGTCATTACAAAAACTTTTTTTAGGCAAATGAGTAAAAATACATCTTATGGAAATTAATTTGATTAGAAGGTATTTTAAGCTGACAAATGAGATTCAGAGAAACCAAGTTGTGCGATAACCAATGTTATCACAGAGTATTAGTTTATCATGTACCACGTGTCACATAATAGTACCATCACATAGTTTTTCAAATATCATTCGACTTCTGACGAACAACAAAAGTGTTTAAAAAAATGGAAATAATTTAACTTCTCACATTTTGCAGGCTGGTCAAACAGCACTGATGCTAGCTGTGAGCCACGGTCGTCAGGAGATGGTCAGGGCACTGCTGGAATGTGGTGCAGATGTGAATGTGCAGGACGATGAAGGCTCCACAGCACTGATGTGTGCGAGCGAACACGGCCGGGCCGAGATCGTCAAACTGCTCCTGGAACAGGATGGCTGTGATATATCAATTGTGGATAATGTAAGCTGTTTATTCTTGTACTTTGTTACATATGCAATCACTGAAAGAAATTCAAAGTAACATTCTGTGTTAGAGTAGGAAAAAAATATTAATGCTCAACCTAACCTGCTAAAAACATTCAAGCTTTCTCGTCTGGGATTTAGCTTATCCAGAGCTCAGGAAACGGCTCCTCTTGGGAATTTATCCCTGCATTTTATCTTTCCTCCATTCCTCTGTCCAGGCTTTTCTCTTTTTTGGTTTTAACTTTCTAATTTTTTTATAAATTCATGACAGTCCTGACAATACTGTTCTAGACATACTTTTTCAAATCGTCATTATTTACAAGACACTTATTCAGTGATTAAAATACAAAGTACTGAAGCCTTCACAGTGATGCTCACCTCTCTGTAACTCACACAGCTATTCAACATAACACTTTTCTTGTGCATATGTGTATTTTAAAGTAACTTTACAAGGATTAGCCTGAACATTTGCAGAAAGGCCAGAGAGATAGCTGCTAAATGTTCACATCTGGCCCTTGGCATTCGGCACAGGCAGCTCCTGGATAGTGTTTCAGTGGAGTACAGCTGGAGAAAGAGGTGCACTCAGATGGGGGTGGGAAAATATTTTGAAAAGCTTATACCTCCTGCTCCTAAAACAAAGAACAGCATGACAAATCGCGGCTGTGAAGCAAAGCAGTAATATGCACTGAACAACGTCCTGCGTTAAATCAAGGAACCTTTCCGAAGGATATAATGCTTTAAACTTCCAACTTGGCACTTATGCCTTCACCAGCTGTTGACGGTTGCTGTTTGTCCGCAACTTAAAAAAAAAAAAAATTGAATAATTTATATAAACATATATTCAAGGTTTGAGGTATAGGGGATTGTGTCTATAGGCTTTGGACCAAATGGGATTTCCTTCTTAATAAATATTTGCTAAATTTAGTAAATTATACACACAGAAGGAATAGTTTAAATTATTAAACTTGTAATGTCTGGTATTGTTGAAAGTATGTCAGTGCAATGACCACTTCTGCACACACGTATGTCTTTTGCATTCCAGCTTGAAACTGTTTACAGAGCCAGTGGACTGACTGACTCTTTTTGTTTTGCATCTCTTTCCTTTTTCACAGGACGGCAGCAATGCTTTGTCCATTGCACTGGAGGCATCTCACAATGACACAGCTGTGCTGCTCTACGCCCATATGAACTATGCCAAGTCTCAGTCTGCTCTGGTGAATCCACCCTGCTACTAACAATTCATACTGTCCATCTGGGCAACAGGAAATACTTTGGCCGAGCTAGTGATATAGTCATGATTAAGCAATCAATTGTGAATTTAGATGTTAAAAAAGCACCAGAACTAACGATTGTTACTTTATGTTAGAAGTCAATGGGTTATAATTAGCTGGAAAACACGTAACCGGAAGTTGCTGCAGTTCACACTTAGAATATAAGTGTACAGCAAACCATGTCTCTTGTAATTAAAGAGAGTTGAATCACTCCCAGAGTAACCTTTACAAGTGTGTGTGTTTGGGTGTGGGCAGTATTGACTTAAGCAGCACTGCTGCCACCTAGAGGTGTTCAGCTCATATCTCAACTTCTGGTCTTTTTGTCCTGTACATTTAATTCATTTTAGTTTACTATTTTAAAGTTGTTTTTAAAATAATTATTTTACTGCTTTTGAGTGATGTCACAATGTTAGGTCTAACTCCTTAACAAGACCTGTACAGTACACAAGTTTTTAAGATAAATCTGTCAATTTTAATGGAACTTCATGTATATACATGTAACATTTGATCCTTTATTTCGTATCTATTAGGGAAGTCCAAAGGCCCAGCCTCGGAGTCCTACCAGCTCCAACAAGTCCTGGCCTGCATATTAACCTGATCCTAGCTGCTCACTGAGATCAAGACTGCAGCATTCATAACTGGATATGAGCTCAAAGGAACTCCACTGGAATTTACTTAGCTATATATATTTCTATTTATGTATTGCCACATGTCCTGCAATTATAAGTATTGTTAATATAAAATATTATTTTTTCCATTAAGAGTTATGAATGATACATGTACGTGACTAATATGAGCTTCTAGTATTTTCAAACTAGTAATGGTCTTAACATGGTTTCTTCTTTTGTTTTGCACTTCAATAGTAATATTTTGTTTTTGGCAACACATGTGGAGGTATATTTTGATGCACAGCAACAACTGTTACAGAAATATTGCCCTCTAAGCCCAACCAAAAAGTACAAAAATTTAACAAAAGGCTACTTCTCTAATATTTCTGTAAATGTAAATTACTGATCTGTGAATATCTTCATAACTTGCACTAACAGTCCATGCAATGTTTGTTATTATACAGTATATACATAATAAATAAACATTTACATAACAGTTTATTGGAGTTTGTGCTTTTCCCTGTGGATATCATTCCTATTCTGTTGATTAAAAATTTGCCAAATTTGAATTAAATTCAAAATTACTAATACTACCATTTTTTTGCTAATCCCACACACTCAAGAAAATTAAGAAAATACATTTATATATATATATATATATGATACTTTAGCTCATCTGCTGAGTTCTAAATGTACTTGCTGGAGTCTAACACAGTGGAGACTGTCTGTCGGTCCTAACTTTTAGACCTTTTACTTTCTTCCCACATTATTCATTATGTTTCTCTGTGAAAAGGACCATCACTTGCAGAGTTGAGAGGTCATGTGGTCCTGCTGCCTAGATACATACAGTCTAAAATTAGAATGTTTCCTTCATTTGTTAGTAGCATCCTTGCTGACTCTTGAGCACATGGTAACAGGCCAACCAATTGGATTTCAGGAAACCACTGTGTTCAATTGCTCTGTATAGCAACAGTGGCATCCTTCAGTTATTTATTTATTTTGGAGTTTTTCTCTCACCAATTTATTCTCATGCCTCTGTCCCAATAGTCATATACCAGACTGCGCTCTGAAACAGAAAAGAAGTTACTATTTAGAATACTGCTTAACCTTATGCACTTATGCCGTTTGACTTCATGCAAGCAACTTTTATGTATTTTGTAATGTTGAATAGTTGATAGAATAGAAAATGGCATTGTCTACTGGAAAAAAATTGTTTTTTTTATCTGCAATGAGATAAAGAAGGAACAGACAAAGAGGTCAGTATGGAAAAAAATGGCAAAATACAAAGGATGGAGAACAACAAAATCGAGGAAACTTTCAAAATATGGAGGACATGGGAGGAGACGCCACAGATGGGAGGGGAAATGGCGAGGAGATACACAGAATGGCGTGAGGACTAAGGCCAGTGGTTGGTTTGATGTGAGCCACGTGTTTGACCAGCCACATTTCTCTACTATTTATCAGGTGTCTAAAGAAATGATGGCTTTCCCTATGTTTGTCCAGGTAGGTGTGACTTCAGATTATAATTTAACTTTTCAATGTTTGGATACGAAGAATGTTTTCATGACGAAAGTTCTTTCATGCTCAATTGTCACATCTTCTACATCCCGAGCTGGAGATGCTGCCAACACGTGGTGTAGGTCATCATCTTACTTTAGGTTGAAGTATCACTTTGATTATCACCAATATTGGTGTCTGCACCCACATGGCAGCTCAATTCTTTCATTTCTAATTTTGCATTAATTAGTGAATTTTGATCTCAATCTCAATTTCAATCTAACAACTAATTTAATGCTCTATGTAGGCACCACACAATAAGTGTTTATAGTTTTGTCATGATTTAATAATGTAAAAATTTAAATCTTATTAAAAAGATTTGATTTGGATTTAATAATGTAAAAATTTAAATCTTTAAAGATTTGATTTGTTTTTTTTTTATAAAAAATGATAGCAGTCAGTCTTTTTGGATTAGAAAACAGGGCTGTGTAATTTACTGCACATAAATACTGCACAATAAAACAAAAACTAAAAAATCACTAACTTGATATACTGTACATTGAGGTGGCCTGTGATACAAACGTGCTCATGTTCACTCCCGCAGTGTAAATGTGACAGTATTTTCTTCAGAGTATTTACTTCAGTCATTAGACGTATATAGCAGGACATTAAGTGTGATAATCACTGACCTTTAGCATAGGTGTTTCCAGTATATATCAGGACAGGAGAACTGACCTTGCAGTGTCTGTATTTGTAGCAGGATGAAAGCCTAGTATATTTTTGGATTAATAATAACCTAAATAGTACGACGATAATAAAAATTAGAACATGATACTACTCACTACTACTGTAAATTTAAATACTGGGAACCACTTAAATGTGGAAGTATACTGTTGTTATTGTATTGCACTATAAGATTTTACTGATAGTGTCATGATCTTCTCAGGATATTCTTTTAGGCCAGAGTAACAACTAGGTTTCAGCTCCTCCCTACTACACATCATTTCCAGGAATAAACCACACTTACAATGTATAACGCCATCTGTAGCAAGTGCACGTATTTTTAGGCATTCCATCACCAGAGGTTCAGAGATAATTTATATAACCAGCAAACAGCAGGCCCTTATTGAACACAAACAACTAAGACAAAAATGCTACGGTTCAGAAATTGCTCGTCAGATTGCTCCTCTTCTGTTACAGTTTCACCAATGTCAAGTAGACAATGACCCTTGGAACAATTAGCACAAACACCAGTGCTTTAGGTCAGATACATTTCTTCAAGCTGACATTGCATTTATCTGCAGGCAGCTGTTGTTTGTTAAGCGAGGCGAGGCAAGGCGAGGTCGGCCTCTAAGCGGCACTGAGCCTGGGTCACTGTGTCCGAGTGTTGAGGAGTGCCAGTTCTGGTATTTTAGGCAGTCAGACAGTGTCACCTGTCAGCAGGCTAGTCTGGACAGACTCTCCACATGGTGCAAGACTAAGCAACAAAACAGTATCTCCCTTTCAGGGCCTTGTCATTGGCCCAGCAGTGTGAGCTTAACAGCCACAAAGTGCAGATAACCACAGAGCGACTGGCCTGAACTGACACCAGGGGTAAAACTGGGTCGTTGTACAGTCAATGTTTCAGAGCTTCTGGAGAAGAAGAAGGTGGAACCAACTGCCTGCAAGGCTCAGTCTCACACTCAGACAGTGTTTCTTCTGGATCATTTTCTGTCTGTTGATCATGATGATGCTTATTCTGCCCTGAGAGACAACAGAGCCAAGAAAGGAGGTACTTTTCAGCATATTTATTGACATGTTGCATTGATTTTGCTATAGCTAAAAATGTACCGTATATATATGGCATATACCATTTGTAATGTCAGCACATGCTGCGCCTCACAGTATTAGCCATCATGCTTTTAGCCTGTCTTTGTTTCTGCTTCTCTCTGTATCTGTTTCTTTGTTACCAGTAGAACTTCAGCTCAATCTCTGATCTCACTTTTTTCAGTCTTATACTTAATATTTGTTGATGAAAAACAAAATTATGAATGAAAACTGTTTTACTTGTTCATTCCAAGAAGTGTACCACAAATACTACAAAATGTTTACATATATAAATATATATATAAATATTTTTATTTCTACAGAGAAAAAACCCAAGCACCTGCTATAACAATGGCATCGCGTGATTCCAATGACAATGACATTCAACTACTGGATGCAGAGTGGTACTGGGGCAGCATCTCAAGGTATTCAATATTATTAGATCGTTTAAATCAAGTTCCTCTAAGCCTCTAAAACTGTTTTAAAAAACAAACAAAACCTTTGTGAACTATCTAGAGAGGAAGTAAGTGAGGTGCTAAGAAACACTCCTGAAGGTACATTCCTGGTCCGAGATTCTACCAGTCGGGTTAAGGGTGAATATACTCTCACATTAAGGTAATCATTTGAATATTTTTACTGATTAAAAGTCAAATGTTGGCTGTTTTTCTCTGGTTTAAAAATCAAGATTTGGTTGGTAGGGTGGAACTCAATACATTTCTGATTTCTGTCTAATTTTAGCTGAATAAGAACAGGCACGTCCTGAGGCTTCAGATATAAAGCTTTGTTGATTAGATTTTGGCGCAGACCTTAGCAGTATGCAACATAACACTGTCTACACAGTTGAGTTTTTACAGTCATCTGTCTCACATTAGTCTGAAGGGAGAGACACATTCCGTTTCACCAAAGTGAAGTTAAGCCGTCTGTGCCTTTTCTTTTTAAATCATGAGACGTTGCAAAACTAATAATTTAGATTTTATATTATTCCTAATTTTTAACTGCCAGTAACATCTGTTTTAATGTTTAGTCTAAAGCCTGCAACTGTGTTTTTATTACTTACTGCAAATTACCAGAAACAAAATGGGTCAAATAAAACTGCTGGCCTCTGCTTTCACTTTAACAGCACATGTTAAAAACATTCATAGTTTTGGTTGAATTTTAGTATATCTATAGTCTATAGTTTCTGTTTTGATTTTATAAACAATAGACTCTCTATAGACTCTAGAAACTCTACATGTAATTTCATCCCACAAATGCAGCACTGACAGCTCCTGCCCACATGAGAGTAAATATATCCTAGACCCAGAACGTTTGTGAGCTCACCAGGAGGAGGAGATGAAGGATCTCAATCATAATCCAACCCCCTGAGGTTTCTGGACCACACACACAAGTGTAACCAGACACTGATTAAAAGTTGACAACCTCTAGGAATTGTTTTTACCAAGCAGTTCAAAATGGCTGTCAGCAAATTACATTAGTTAATTTTAAATGAATGTTTTTTTAAATTGTGGTTGCTCTTTTTTGGAAAGTGAACACCAGAAACTGGAATCAAAGTACCTAATCAAAAACTCTACTTCGAAACAAATTGTCTGCACTTATGTCCAAAACACTGTACACAAAGATGAGGCTACTTGTCACTTGATTTAACATCAGATTTTGGGCCACAAACTCAAAGTCACCAAATGCTTATAATATTTACAACTATAGCCTACTAGATGTTAAGGAGGACTAATAAGGCGTTGTTAAATATTAAATCGTGTGCAAAGTCCTTTTTTAAATGCTTTTATTAAGTTAAGTTTTTACCTTCAACAGGAAAGATGGTTCCAACAAATTAATAAAGATTTTTCATCACGGGGGCAAATACGGCTTCTCTGAGCCACTCGTTTTCCCTTCTGTGATGAACTTAATCCAGTATTACCAGAGCCAATCACTTGCCCTGTACAACTCTAAACTGGACACACGACTGCTCTACCCTCTGTCCAGGTACCAGCAGGTGGGTTTATGATAACCGTTTCTATAATGCTTTTAAACAGCGAGTTATATTTGGGAAAATAACCAATTTGTTTTTTATAATTTCAACCTCACATTTATTACAAATATTTTAGCTGATAATCAAAATAAAACTGCTAAAGTACAATAATTTTAACAATTGGTTTTTGTTCAAATATCCATACAACAGCAGGCTGTGTTTGAAGTTGGCAGTGATGCAATTGAAGAACAGCTGAGACAATTTCAGGATCAATATAAAGAGAAAAGCAAAGAGTATGACCATCTGTTTGAGGAGTTAAATCAAACATCCCAGGTACAACTCGTAACATTTTTAAAGTAGTGCAATTTAAGTCAGTTCCTTTATGGGTGTTTTAACACTTCTGTCTGGTGAAAACGTTTTTTCTGTGTTATCTTAGGACCTGCAAAGCAAGTGCACAGCCATAGAGGCTTTTGGTGAAATTATTCGGCTCTTTGAAGAGGAGTGTGAAACTCAAGAACGATACAGCAAAGAATATATTAATATGTTCTTATCGCTACAAAACAAAACAGAAACCTACAAGTATGTATACCAATAACAACTTCCTTTCCTAAAATATAGGAATGAGGTGCAGTGGTGTTACATATCTGAGCTTCTATTCAATTTGGTCCTATTCTCATTTAAATTTAACTTGTACATTAGTAAAAAATGTGCGAGTATGATACATATCTTTGGACTTGTGTTCTGTTTGTTATGAAACCATATCAGTTACAGTACAGTCTAAAGAAAAATAATTAAAAAACCTGCAAATGTAATGCCTTGCTGATGTCATGTTTGGTTATTGCCAGGATAGAAAGAAACACTGACAAGCTGCAGTCAAGGGTCGAGGAGGTCCACAACAGTAAAAGTAAATTGGAGGACGAGCTAAAAAAAGAGGTGCTGGATCACATGGATGTTGACAGGAAAACTGATGGTCTAAAGAAGGAGCCTGCAGAGCTCAGAACTTTGAGAGATCAATACCTGCTGTAAGCTAAGAACCATACAACCTAATGTTGTACAAAGCCACTTTACCACTACAATACATAGTACTTGGCCCAAAATAAATAAATAAATAAATAAATACTGCCCATTCCCAAAACAGTTCTCATAAAATAATGAGTTCTGTCACATAAAAGTATTAAACCTGGAATTCAACACAAACTGCTGGTCTACCTTGATAAACACCCAAAATTTATTTTAGTGGTTTTATTTTGCAAGTGAAGTATCCATTTATTCTATCAGGACATTGTTAAATCATACAAAGTATTAACTCACTATAATACAATGCTACTTTGCATTTACTTCTCTTTTACAGCTGGCTCACACAGCATGGTTCTAAGCCAGGTCAAATGACCGACTGGTCAGGAGTCAAGAATGAAGACGAGGAAGACGAGTAAGTATAATTTGAAAATGATGCACCAAGCCAAATATATTAGTGAAGTACTACGTGTTTGAACATCTTTGGAAAAAATATGCAAACTATGGCAGCCCAATACTATCAGTAAATAAGACGAACAAGTAAATAGATCATTAAACAAGTTAAATAAATTAAATGCATCTTCTGGTCTAAATCAAGTGACATATCTGTCAGTGTGACATGCAATTAAACTGTCCCACCAGGCAGCACCTTACATCTGTTAGATAATTAACTGTGTGAATTGTTAAAACTGATCTTTCCTTGCCTCCACTTTGCCATTGTTTCCCTAGCCTGTATACCCTCGTGGATGATGCAAAGCAGGAGGCATGTACCTGGTATGTAGGTGATATGGGACGGAAGGAGGCAGAGGAGCTGCTAAGAGGGAAAAGGGATGGAACCTTCTTAATCAGAGACAGTCAGTCTCAGAAAGGATGTTTTGCCTGCTCTGTTGTGTGAGTATCTTTGAATTTGTTCTTGAACTACTAAAAACTACTCCAAAAGTTTTTAAAGCTGCTTTTAAGATGTATGTTTTACACAGCATTCCTGAAAACAAAAGCTTTTTGCCAAATTACAAAATTTAAAAAAAAACATCATTATGCAACAGCACACCCCATTAAGCCGAACAACACAATAAGATATATATGCTATACATTGTATATACTTCAGTTTAATACCAATGTTAATTAAATATATTGATGTTTAAATTTTTTCTTCCACAAACTTCAGATTGCTCTTAGAAAAGAAAACCATACATTTTCTCCTGCAGATTGAATGGAGATGTAAAGCACTGTGTGATCTACAGAACTTCAAATGGATTTGGTTTTGCAGAGCCTTATAACTTGTACCCAACACTGAAAGACCTGGTTCTCCACTACAGAGACACCTCTCTTGTGCAACACAATCAGCAGCTCAATGTAACCCTGGCATGGCCTGTTCTTAGTGAGCAACCCAACTGAGACACACCAGAACGCCACGCTGATGCACTTTTCCAAGCTTCACGTTTACAGATGTTGCACCTTTATGGGTTGTTAAATTGCCCTAAAACTGCAGGACTAGCTGGTGAAACAGTTTAACAGATTCAGAGCCAAGATGTAGATATTGTTATACGTCTTCCGCAGTCATCCGTTCTCATTGATATTGTGACGTGTGCACACTCCAATCTTTCTGACAAAAAAAGAACAGCCTGTTTACAATTTATCTCCTTATGCTTATAATGTCATGAAAAAGTAGAGTATGTAAACCATTATAATTACTGCCCATTAAAGACAAAAATGTGATTTTGATCAGTGTGTATAGGTGCAACATATTGAGGTTTAGTAATTCAATTCAATTACGTGCTTTTTTTGAAAACACATCAAAAACTACAAATCCTTGTAAAGGACTCCTTTTTCAGCAAAATGTGATTTAATTTGCAAAATTGCAATCTCTAAACTAAACCTAAAATATAATATATTTAAAAGAGACCTGTAATTTATTAGCATATCACAAAAAACTAGCACCTCTACTAACTTTATCCATGAAAATACAAACACAAAATGATTAGCCTTTTTTCATAGTCTAAAAAATGCATGATATCCTTTAATAAAATAAAACCTAAAACATATCCTTGCAATTTAAAGAAAAGCACAAATGTTTACTTAGCTAATGGTAAGGTTCAATAATATGATCAGTTCTTGTTTTATCCGCATTTGCCTTATGAAGCCCCTGTACTGAATACCTATTAGCATATCTTTGTGACAACCCTGCAGTTGACAAACAGCAGTTAGTGAAAACTTGACAATCAACTAGTAATGACTAAATATATAGAAAGGTGAATGAAATGCTTCCATTTTGACTATCACATCATTTCTGCATTCCTTTAGAATATATTGTATTAAATCTATCATAACTTGTTTTTGCTTGGTATTAAATTTAAAGTATATTTACAATCTTTCAATTGGCCTATTTTGGATAATAATAATAAAACAATCAATCAATGTTGTTACCTATTATAAAAGTATGCATCTACCTAGAGATGACAAACATCTGTTTGAAATTCGGTGTTCTATCAAATCTTGTGAAGGAGACATTTAATGAAAATCTTTTTTAAAAGAAGATTAATTTTGGTGGCTATTAAGGCAGGGTGCCCAGTTCTTGTAAGACTGTCATTAATTATTTTGCATTTGTCAACTAATATAGCATTGTCACTTTAGAGTTATTGTGAAATGTTTCTGTTGAAGTAGTTAGCTTCGCCATTGGTTACTTTAATGCACTTTGTTTGTATTTTGAATGCTTCATTCTTACTGCATATGTATACTTGAAACCATTAGTTCTCTGTGACTGATTCCATGAGGGATTTGATAAAAATATGTCATTTAATATGTTATGAGAGTAGAAAAGTTTATTCCTGTGTGCAGTGATTAAACCAATAGGTATAATTAGTACTAAATGTGTGCACTTTACAGTAGTACATCGCATACTTCTTCTGCCACCAATTTTCTTTTTTCTGTTGTGTTGGTGCTAACGCTTTTAATAGTCCCAAATTCTACACAATAGGCTGTAGTGATAGCTCTAAGGCAATGGAAAACCAGGGGCTAAACTAACTAGCAAATAACTCAGGCAAAACTGCAAAATTGAACTATTGGTTGAGCTGAAGTTGAAAAGATTTGACTTGATTTGCCTTTTCAATGTGGCAAGTCTTTTTATAGTCTGTTGACGGAACAAACCAGAAGTGTTATTACAGAGTTGCCATTTGCTCTTGTCACTTTTTCCTTTTGGAGCCACATGTTTATTCAGTATAATACATTTAAAAAATGACTGAAATATAGTTCCTTTTGTGGCATGAATGCTCTGAGAATACAATTTGCACATAAATGTTTCTCATGTGGAGATACTGTGACTGTCTGCATGTCCATCCACCCTTGGACTGAAACAGGTGGACATGCGCTGGTACTTTTATAGTTTTATAGTATATCTGATAAAATGATGTTTTTTAATATACGAGTGAAACATTTTTTGTGCACAGTCAACAATTAGCTGAATATCTGCTTGTGTCATTTTAGCTTGCAAATTTATTTAAGTTTAAAAACTTGACAAAAAACTGAAGGAAAGGACTACTTACAGTCAATGCTTTGTATGACTTTTAGACAGTATTTGGAATCACACGTCATAGGACCTTATTGTGACTTAGTTGTTGTCAAATGTCAGCTAACATAAGGGTTTGTTGATTTTAAATATTTAGTGTTTGTTTTGCTGTAGGATATACAATGAATTTAATACATTTACTTGCCACAGCACTGTACAAATATAAACATGTTACTTTACTATATTCTTTCTTCTAATCTTAAATTTAAATCTTAATAATGAATTGGGGGCAAAGGGGAGTATGCTGTATTTTGCCTGGTACTAAAAAGATGATGTTTTCATTCTAGGCCAACAAAATGCCAACAATTGTCAACTAATATTGTATCTTAAACCACTGCACTTTGCCATACAATAAATGAAAAAATATAACATATCAATGAGTGTTGTTTATTAATCAGGATTTAGGTTTTTCTAGACTGGACTTTTTGCTGTACCCATTCACTCAGATATTCACATGTCAGGTAAAGCTGAATATTTCTTACCTGCACTGGCAATAGAATTAGGAATCCCTTCCAGGGTCACACTGGGACGTAGTGAAAATGACTGATTCATTCCGGTGACTTTCTGATTTTTCTGGAACACCTGTCCCACTGTCCTTGGCATCTGTTGACAGTACATCACAAACATTTGTGTCAACAAAGAATATTGTCTTTGGGCTAAAACGTGTCTTTTATTGCATAGATTCATACAATCTGAAGTACAACAAGTTATCTTAAATACCTACTAGTGAAGGTACTTTGCCTTGGCCTTGACTAATGCAAACACATGTAGATGTTTTGCACATTTCAAAAAATACAAATAAATACCACATAATCACTTATACATACACATAATCAAATAATCAAATAAACATTGTATGTTATTTATTTACATACATACATTTGGGCAAAACGAAAGCATATTTAATGCCATCATCACCATAAATAAATAATTATAATACATTGGGAATTAAAAAAATATTTGAACATTTGCTAACAAAATAAGCATTAAAACTTTCTCCACTGTGGTAGTATGGGTTCTTAAAAAACCTGGAACACATTTAAAATTCTAAATTTTAACTAAGTTACCGTCGGTTTGGTACTCGGGTATAAGCTTCGCACAACCACCTGGCATTAGCATTGTAGCTAACACCCGAGCTTCTTTATTTCTTGCCCGTCTAAATGATCGCGTAATTATAATTCTAACATTTGTTATAAGAATTTAGTTAATCACTGGTCTTACCTAGTGAGGAAAAGGAAGAGAGTCAAGCCTAGCAGCACTATCCATGGTACATAGGTGTTCAGTGGATGCTAATACTACACCTGTTGCAAACTTCCGGTTACAGGCAGCGGGCCTCATGCTGCCTTTGAGTGTAATCGGAATGAAAGAAACAACAACAAAAACAAAAAAAAAGAAAGAGAGAGATAGGATGCTATTGACGATTCAACAGACCTACAGTCTACAGTACATCTTTGTAACAACCAATAATACAAAGCTGTAATATTTAGCCATTTTTCTATATTGCAGCTTTACCAGAAGCCTATATTCAGAAAACTGCAACTACTGTAGTGTAGATTTTCATTTTTATTCAAAACATTTATATAGATGTATGTTTTTTTGGCAAGACAACGGTACCGCTGTACAATATATATTTTTAATCTGAAGAAATAAAATGTGTACGCAGGCAAGAGCACAAGTTTCACAGGATCCCTGAAGACATCATGCTTATTCAGTCAAAACTGTATTTAATTAGCTGCTGATTAGGACACAGTACTGTGAGCAGAGCAGTGACTTCAGTTTAGCTGCCTTCACTTGTTACACGATTCTCTCCAGCTCTCAGACATGAAGCTTCTAGTTCATTTATCAGTGTTTTTGCTCTTCTGCACTCACAAAAGTTCTGGGATCAGTCACCCTAAACCAGCCTGTCGTTACCCTCCATCTCAGTGGTGTCGGTCACTGGAGATAGCAATTGAATGTAAGGTGAGTGGCAAAATACATCCTTGTATTTATACAAAGTTAATTTTATATATACTTTTATTTCATTTACTTCCAAGGAGAAATAAATATTTGAATTGTAGTATTTGTACTAAAATAATAATAATAATTTAACCAATTTCTTTACTGCACTTGTTTTGTCAATAGCACATTTCTAAAACGTGCATATTTTTTTTCCAAGTAGTTCAAAACATATTTAGTATTTATTGAATTGTTGTCAAAACATGTCATGACATGTGAAACTGTATTCAGGGAGAAAATAGGAGATTTCTTGTTTTGAATCTAAATGTGAATCATGCCTTGATAATTAAACACTGAAGGTTTTCCATGTGACTGTCTGAGGCCTTCTAGGTCAAACAGCCACAGTTCTTTGGTTCTAAGGAGTGGGCAGTTGCTGTAACTTTCTTTAAAAAACATTGTCAACATTTTTATTTAGCAAAAACATTACCAGACAGTCTATTTAATGTTTTTGCATACAGGAAGTCTGGTCTTCTTTCTGTTTGGTATAAACATTTAACAATCACAACAAATGATTGTGTGTGTGTAGGTGCAGAAACAGTGTATGGAGGTAAATGCCACCAGGACACTTCTTCAATCTGTTCCTCCAGTGTCTGTCACTCTCTACTATGAGAGCTTGTGTCCAGCCTGTAGAGTCTTCATCACCCAGCAACTGTTTCCTACCTGGACCATGCTGCAGGACATCATGACCGTCACTCTGGTGCCCTATGGAAATGCTAAGGTGTGGTCATCAGTATTTTTTCCCAACACCTTAAAATGGAAGAACAAAAATTTAATGTTTTTAATGTAAAAATAGAAAATGGTTGATCTACTCCAGTGGTTCTCAATTTAATTTCTGTAATTCCCCACCTCCCAGCCCACAACCCAAACCTCCATGGATTGAGAACCTGATAACATGTATATTTTTATCTGTACAAAACACTATATGAGTTGCTGCCACCTAGTGACCGGAGGCTTATCATTCAAGAATTACAGCAGGGGTACACGTGTGCCATATTACATTGGAAGCCCCTCGTGCCCCCCTCTACCTTGCCCACCTCACTATTAAAGAAGTACTGACCCACTCATACATTACTCTTGTAGGAGATTTCATCAGGGAATTCTCCTTTTACCTGTCAACATGGAGAGCCTGAGTGCAGAGGAAATTTAATTGAGGTTTGTCTTTTTCCTTAGCTGTTTCTTTATCAAGTATTATTGATTTTTATTTTTTTGTAAAAGACGATAATGTTTAAACAACTTTTCTAATTTTTCCAGGCCTGTATCATCCATTTATCCAAACACTCAGCATTTCAAATCATCTACTGCATGGAGTCAGCTGCAGATGTCCTCGGTGCTGCACAGAGTGTGAGCACTAGCTTTATTAAAAACAATCTATGATTTTCTATTAAAGCAAGTGTGAAATGACAGACAGCCTCGTTAGGTTTTCGATGTTATTGCATTTACCCTGATGGTGAGGTCCAGTCTGTTCTGTTGTCACAGTGTCTTCAGCTCTATGCTCCCTCTGTGTCCTGGTCGAGTGTTGACTCCTGCCTGACCACAGGCCTTGGATACAAACTGATGCATGCCAACGCCGCCATGACAAGAGCTCTGAATCCACCTCACACTCATGTGCCCTGGGTCACCTTCAATGGGGTGAAGATTATTTATTATAATTCTATGTAGCATGAAACAAAAGTTCTGTCAAAGAAAAAAATGTTTTTTTAATACTACAAAATCATTAAAAACATGTATTGATTGTACCTTACTTTCAATAACTTAACACACTTTAATTTATTTGTTAGAAAGACAGTATATACAACTCCAGTGCCTAGGAGTTTTGTATGAGTGGTGTTGTTACTGATGGGTTTTCCTGGAGACTGGAGAAGCTGCATAGCATCTCAACAGATGCAAAAGAAAACCTTTTTTTTTATGTTCTTTGCAGGAATACTCCACTGATTATGAGGATAAGGCCATGTCTTCTCTTTTCCATTTAGTTTGCCAGCTTTACAAGGTAAGGACTGAACTGTCGTGGTGCAAAAGGCTATGAATCATGTTAGGCTCATCAGTAGATGAATATTTTTGAAGTTACAATACAAATTAAAATTAACCCTGGACTAAAAATGTAATACAATGTTTTATAGCGTTTCTATTTTTCTATAAGTATTCAATCCAGCTGTCTTACCTTGTCATCAATCACAACCCCATTATTTTTTCTCCAAATAAAGTGACTTGTGTTTTGATGAGACCCCTTTATTTACAGGGGCCAAAGCCTCCAGCCTGCACCGGAGCCCAGGTCAAACTGGACAGAAGTTTCTGCTGAAGATGTCAATCAACTGCATGCTTTTTGGAAAAACATAAGGTCATAATGTTTAATATATTATAAGAAACGGCATATAAATCCACATCTATGTTGCATGATCAGTTATATAAAAAGTGTTTGTCAAACATGCTAATGTAATTTCAAAGTCAAAAATGTATTTGTTTCATTAAGTAATAATTAATCAATGAAGGTGTTTGAGTTCAAATATCATGTGTCCCCTACTTATCCACACAATGCACATTGGAAAACTCTGAAGGCAGTATGTAAAGGGGACAAAGATGTAATAGAAAAATTAGAAGTGAAGGTTTTTGAGATGGCAGTGAGACATGTTTTGGGCTTTGGTTTTGATTGGGTGGTCTTGTGTGAAAGACTGGAGATCAGAGAAACTGCTAAGAAAAAGCAAGTTGGTACATGTACATGTGCAAATGAGAGGAAGTAGGTGTGTCATCAGCAAGTAAGAAAATAGGGAGACCACAGAATATTCTAGGGTTTAGTGAAGGCAGAATTGAAGATGGTTTGTATAATATAATATAATTTATAATAAATAAAAAATTAGTGAGCAGTCTTGAGTAAAATTTTCATGTCATTTATTTGCTTTTTTCTTTGTAAGAGCTCCCCAAAACTTTTTTGGCTGAATTGGGAACTGAAAATATCTTTCTTTAGACAAAATGTTGGAGTGGCAGATGTATACATACATACGTACGTACATACATGTTGTTTACTTGTTTTTTAGGCTCCAGAAACAAAGTCAAATGTCTTATGTTACAGTACTTTGTCTTGACAAAAAGGATTTGAGAATAAATATTATAGTAAAGTTTTTACACAACACAGAGACTGAGACGACAACACAGCATGAACACTTATGGTTGCAGCGTCGATGCAACACAACAGCTCAGCGCAAGCAGCAAATACAGCTGCTTATCAACACATTCAACACTGTATGGCACTGAAGTTCTCCTCTAAAAGAGCCAAAATGCTAGCATTTTTCAGCATGCTTATTAAAGACGCATCGCATCAACAACATACTCAGATTTTCAGTAAATCGGAGTATAAACGGTTTAAGATACCCTGGTGTTTGTGTTCAGCATTGCTTCTTTTTTGAGCTTGTGCATTTTTTCTAAGCGACCCTTTTTACTTTAAGTCTTTGTGCTGCAGGAAAGATAAAAAAAGAAAAATTCACTAGATGGAATTGGTGTAAGAATTTTTGTTAGTTTTTTTATTTTAAAAAGAAACGTCTCATAAAATTTGTCAAATAAATTAAACCTGCAAATGGACTTAATTTGATATTGATTCATAAAATTTGTCAAATAAATTAAACCTTCAAATGGACTTAATTTGGCTAGAGATATTACTGCTGTGCTTTTATACTGACATAAATGCAGAGTAAATAAATTCAACTTATTACATTTTTGCCACCCTTTTTTTATAAATTGGTCAAGTACATTGAAGACGTATCAGACCATTGTACGTATTTCACATCTACCCACAAGTTCAGTCTACTTTGAAACTCTTTGGACTGTTAAAATGATTCATTTGAAGCTAAAAAAAAAAAAAATTCAAATGGCAGCAGGAGGCAAGATATTAAAACAGCAAATTGATCTCTCAACACCAGGTATCAGGTGACTCCCATCTCATATTCTATAAGGCCTAGCGATAAAGTATACAGTATATACTTGCTGTGCTGATGAAATACTGTTAGTGTTCCCCACTACTGTCTAACCAGCAAGTGAATCAAATCCTGTGTAGTGTTTTTTTTCCACTTCCTAGTCTTGTCCTTCAAAGTAACCATTGTTGATCTAGAGTCTAGACAGACGTACTTGGGACAGAAACAGTCAAAAAACGACACACAATCTCAGGTATCCGATTATGAAAAGGCTGAACAGACTCATCCTATGCTGCACAAAATCTATTAAATTGTCTGCTTTGAATATCATTGACATCTATCATCTGTAAAAACTAACACTATAAGTCTGTGACTTTCCATACAATCATCTGGTTAAAACCTCTAGATGTAAAAATGTACACAATCGTAGGCTGGCAGGTGTGAGATTTTCTTAGCACTCATGGTACACAGTTAACCCAATGGAGTTTTGACAACTAAATGTAGACAATCAGTTCACTAACTACATATGATTGATTTGTCTCAGGAAATAAGAAGAAGCTGTGCTGTTTGTGTTGCTGGGCAGGACAGGGGAGTGACAGCAATCTACATTCATCTGTGGGGAAGATAAAGAAGTCAGGACTTGGTGAGTGGCTTTTTTTAAAAATTTTAATAATACAAATATACTCTATACTGTATACTGTGTATAAGTATATTTTATATTTTTGGGCGGGCACATGAATGTATATTAGTTTCACTGCTGCTTATTTTTATAATTGTGACATAAGCATTTTTGGTTACATCTCCTGTGTGAGGGCCGCCATTTTGGATCTCTGTTTTTACATTAAAACACAGTAAAAAAAAAGATCCTTATGGCACTACATTAAAACACAGTAAAAAAAAAAAAGAAGATCCTTATGGCATTGTAATAATAAAAGTCTACGTTATCTTATACATGTTAGGACAGAATTGGCAAAATAAATTATAGTCATACGTAAAATGCAATGTCACCACTAGATGGTGCTAAGTTCAGCACAGTGCATTAGTATCTACCGACAGACGGTTTTCCCTTAGCTTTTTGTGTCAAAGGCACTACTGAGTTCCAATGTGCTCAGTTTAGGGTCTGTTGTAATAAGTAATACAGACAGATGAGCAGTGAGCTCAGATGTGTTGTACTTTAACGTCACTAAATATTGTTGGGCAGTTATTACTTTTAAAAAGGTAACTGCTGTGCTGTCAGAGCAGATGCTACAACAGTATATTGTACTTTTTTTAACATTCTGCTTCAATCATTTTAACCACGACTAAGAAAATCTAAAATGAAGAGTAAATCTTCTGGGTCACTCTGCGTCTGTTATCCTACATTATACTTAGTTATGCACTTATCAGTTGGCAAAACACTAAGCTTTAGCAGCCAATGTTACCTGACCTAGAATAACAAACAGGACAACAACTATTTACTTGGAAATTATTGTAGTACCACATTCTCAAAACTGTAATAAATATATTGCAACAACATACTTGGTGAAAGAAACATTAATGTTTAATAATGTGTATAAACTTTAATGAACTTACAGTAAAATACTACCCTGTATTTTACTACTACTACTACCCTGTAGTTTGTCTGGATAGTTTGAGGTTTGATCTATCTGTACTAGATTTGCAAAAATAATTGAATCCAGTTGCACTGTGAATGAGTTCTAAAGCTACTTTACTGTGATTACTTGTTGTCATAACATCACAGAGACGCAACACCACATGTAGCCAAAGGATTAGAAAAAGAGATTTATGTGAATCTATATGAAACAATAGACCTACATCTGTGCTGTGATTATTATAATTATTCATTCTGTTATTAATATCATTATTACTCTGTATTGTGCAGTCACTTCCCTGCCCTGTCCTGGCTCCCAGCATCAGTTATGCTGAACTGTTGCTGTGATCAGTTGTGATCAGTAGGCCTACACTTAGTGAAGCCCTTTGTGAGTGACTAAATAGGAGAGCTGTACAGCAGAGATGGTAAAGTGCTACTGTGGACCGGAGGCACCCTGTTTAAAAAAAACTGCTTTAAAAGCACAAAAACATAGAACGGGAGCAGCAGACGCACGACATAGAAGATCCTAAAGTCCTACAGTCGAAAACCTAAAACAAGGACAACATTTAATAATCTCTGATTGTAAAAAAAAGGAGACAGTTTTTGTCATTTTAACACATTCGTCTGGATTTCGATCTCAGTGGTGCTACACGTTAGATTGAATAATCATTTTGATTGCCTATGTTGCCATGGTTTAATTAAAGGGATTATATTAAATAAAGATAAAAACAAATTAAACACAGAACTTCAACCAGCCTGGGGTCAGTGGCAGGTCAGGGGTACCCATTACATCCATGCTACATTAAAATGTATTTAGTTTTTCTTCATACCTGAGGTATCCATTTTTTTAACTGCTCGACTACTTCCTGTATTTTTTTTGGTAAAATCAGTTATATTTGTCACATCATTCTCAGAAAAAAAAAACTTTTAAAGTGACTCAAACTTTGTATCTAAAACTAAAACTGTGATGCAAAAATATTTTCCAAGACCCTGTTGAACCACCATAATCCACATTCACCGCTTCGGTCCTGAAGTTGCAGAGAGTTATTTCAGAGGAAGACATTTCCTTGTACTTGTGTAGTTGTTGTATCACAGTCTCAGCTTCAATTTTCTCGCAGGTAAAAAAAAAGTCAAAAACTGAAGCTACAACAAAGCTTGATGGGAACCAAAGGGAATATGCCCCCTGAACTGAGGCTAAAATGATTCTTTCCCTGCTGAAAAGTCAAATAAATGCAAGAGGGAAAATCCCTCTGTTCTATAGCGAGGGTGTCTCCAGTGTAAAGGGACTGTGGTGATTTTATAGACTTTATTTAAAAAAGCCTGCCCTGCCCCTGTGTGTCCTCACACCCGGGGCTGTGTCTGTGAGGCAGGGCAGGTTGTGCTGGTTGTTACGTGTCCATACAGAGGCAGACGACCTCCTCGCCCTCCCGACTCAGTTCTCCATCTCCGTCTGACTCCCCCTGTTCCTGGGAGTCCAGCGCCTTGTGACAATGAGGGCTTTGCATCGACATGGCAGCCAGACTTAGGGTCCGCGGTGGGTGAGGTGAAGGGGGGCGGTACCTTGTGTTGCTTCTGCGAGGGTCCGGGGACAGAGAAGGAGAAGAGGAGGAGTCATGATGCCTCTCACCGCCAGACTGAGACTCCTCCTCCAATGGACTCTCTGGGTCAGATTCCTCCTCCTCCTCTTCCTCTTCTTCCTCAAGAGTAAGTTCAAACTGGAACTTGTCCCCTCCGCTTCCTCCTCCTCCACCTGAATGAACTGATCCTCCCCCTCCACCTCCTCCTCCACCAGGCTCTCCCTCACAGTGGTGCTCCTCTGGGCTGCTGGGCGATGGGCTGCGAGGAATCATGCTCTGGTACCACTCCCTGTTGTCCTCCAGAGTGTCCAGGATGTCCTGAGCATCGGGATGCACCAGGTCTGCCCAGGTCTCCCACAGCGGGTGGACGATGAAGTCGATGAAGCCCACCTAAGAATAAAAGGTATTTTAATCAGTAATTAACAAGAAAATGCTAAAAAAAAAAGTCCAGAAGTTTCGTCTGTTAACCTTAAGAGAACCCCAGAGCCAGATCTCCCCAAGTAATTTTACGACATATGGATAATGTTATTATTGTTATTACCTGTGCAATGTTGTACATGGACTATTTCACTTAGTAAATAGTGGAGCAATTCTACTGATTTAAGTCTTAAAAAGGATCTTTACCTGGTTCTTCTCAATTGAAGCATTGTGTTTGTCACACATGGCACTGATCTCCATACCCTTGTCTCGCTCTCTGTCTCCCTGTGTGAAGAACTCCACCGTGATGCGGTCTGTCCACTGTCGATACAGCTCCAGAGGTTTGGTGGGGTTACTGAGGTCGGCACAGTGGACCATGTTCTGCAAAACCTGTGGGAGAAAATCTCAGATAAGTCATGGGAACTTGTTGGGAGGTTGTGTGCAATATTTGTCTAAGTGGGTTTTTTTTCTGATTTTACACCAAAAAAAAACTAATTTTTTTTTTACCCCATGCCAATTACAGATATAAAGTAAAGTCACTAAATTACAGTGATTTTTTTTTCACTTTAGACTTCAGATATACTGATGCTATGGCACGTGTTTGTCCAGCAGGTAGCAGCACAGTCACACACTCTTCCTGTCTGTGCATCCAAACCGCAGTTCAGTGGTTTGTGCACAGGGTGACGTACAAACATGCTTCTGTCTGCATCAGCTCGTGTTTAACCTTTAACTATTTCCCAGCCAACTCTTTTATCAAAGCTTTATTTTCTGCTATGTTTTAGTAATAACTGTAAACCTTGTACTTTTTTGGCAGTTTTGAAAAATCGACATTTTGGATTGTGCTTTCTCCAGTTGTAACAAAGGTTAACTGGCTGCTAAATGTGTCTAGATATTAACAAAGGTTAACTGGCTGCTAAATGTCCCGCAGATATTTAGATAAAATATCTACAATCAGTTTATATCTGCTATTCTTGAAGGAGTGATGTGCTTCTTTATAGTCAGCAGGGGGAGCTCTCACCTGAATGCGATCAGAATAGTTGTCCAGCAGCAGGACTCCTAGACTCGTCACTTTCTTGGTTTCCACCATTGTCTTCATGCCTGCCAAGAAGTTCATGTGTTTGGACATGTCCGTGGCCAGCACCTGAAAAGTACGGTCTTCATCAGTTGTAGGAAAAACTAGAAGTAATTCAATGTAAAGCCATCATTGTGTCACTGTTTTTTTTTTTTCATTAAGTCATTAAGATTCTGCATCACTATATTATACTATAAAAGCAACGGTAAAAAAAAAACATATCCAGTATTTAACAGTGAAGTAGCAAACATTAAACATGGTTTGATAAGATGGTATAACACAAAGATGATTATTTAAGGACAGATGTTACCTGATGTTTGCTTCATATAAAAACAAAATATTCCCACTGGCTCAAATGTAAACTACCCTGTACAAATCCACACTACCCACAAATGAATAAATGTCCAGAAAATAAGGTAAAAACCTACCATGTCAATCACCATCTTCCGAAGTGAGTCTCTGAGCTTCTTGCTGAGGTTTTGGAAAATGTCACAATTGTCTTCCTGTAGTAGTTTGAAGCCAACAGCGAGGTGGTGGTTCTCCAGCACCGAGGTATCGTTGTACATCACGGCCAACTCAGAACCTGTGGATTGGAATGACGACAGGTAAATTATACTGTAGGGTCAGAACCAAAATTAAAATGTTGGTTTGTTTGTCAGTTTTTCTTGATTTTTATGAAATTTTTCTTTGTGAAAAATAGAACCCACTGGTGTCGATGAGAAACTGGTTTGTGACTCCAGGGTGGTCTACGTCGTGGATGGCACTGGCGAACAGAGTAGCCATGATCTCCAGATCCGTGAACACTGCCTGTGAAAGACAAGAATTTTAAAAAATCTCATTATAAAAAAATAGAAATCTTTGACTTGTCCAGTAGTTTTTTGTTCTTTTTTTAAACTGACCTCCAAAGCTGGAGTGGACAGAAGGACATGTGTGGACTGGACCACATCAGCTGCATGGATGTTATTGTGGTAGGCTACATCAGCGTGGTAGTGGTCCTCCAAGGTCATCATGAAGGTGATGAAGGTGTCGGCTGGGATTTTAAAGGTTTTTAAAAGATCTCTCTCCTAAGAAAAGAAGGAAAAAAAAATAATTGTAAAAGAACTGAAATAAATATCTGTCATAACTCATTTCTCCACACACGGAATACTATAACAAAGAATAAAATGTGCAGAACATTAAATCAACTGTGACTTCCTGTTGGAATGCATAAGCAGAAAAGCCCGTACCTGGAAGACGGAGTACATCACCACCGTAAGCGGGCGGTTCCCGGAATATTCTGCTATTTTGAAGATATCCAAACCCCAACGATTAATGTCCTCAATCTCCTTCAATAGTAAAAAAAACACATCCATGAACATCTGGGGTTTGTGTGTGTGTGTGATTTTGTGTGTGACGTCTGATGAGTTGATGTGTTTGAACTCACTTTGCCCAGCATACTCTCGTTCGGTGCCTTGACTCCAAAGCGAGGGATGCAGGCGTTGGCGAGGCTGGGACTCTGTGTGGCCTTCTTCACACCACTGATCTGTGACATCGGCCTCTTCTTCTTCTCCTTCTCCTTAATGGGTGGAGACAGGATCTCCACATCATGTTGCTTCTCTGTGGTGGGTGCACAATGACAAATTTCAGACAAATCATCTTTTCAAGTCTTGGTTGGACCATCATGCATCATTCTGCCCTGTTTTCTTTCTTTTGACTACTTTCGTCAAGGTGGGTGCACAATGACAAATTTCAGACATCATGCAGAATTCTGCCCTGTTTATTTTCTTTTGACTACTTTCGTCAACAGTCACTAACGCAGGTCAGATGTCATTCCCCTCTGCTTCCATACATATTTTCCTTATATTCTTTATAATAATATAATACAGTTTGTTTTACCAACTACCTGTTGACTGTTTTCAGACTTTTTTATAAATGTAAGTCACATTGTTCAACATGAGTCGACATTTAGCAATACAGAGTTATTTCCCACGCTAGCAGACACTTCCACACTCCACGTCAGTATAGCTATTTTCCAAGTGTAAACGCATAAAAAACAGAGAAAAATTCAAGCACAATAAATATTTGTATTTTTCAGGGATTAAAGGTGAAATGCAAAACATATAAACGACAGAAATGGTTTTGACTAAATCGTGAGGTTTTAAATAATTAAATCCACTAAAATGTTACATCCTTAACACAAAACCACTGAAATCCCGTCCAAAACGATCTTTACAACCACAGGTTCAGCTCGTTTTATATCGCCTCCATTTGATGTTTTGACTCAAACGTGCTCAAACAGCTGACACGATGGTTGTGTAGAAAGTGACTCATCAGTATTTTGTACAATCCAAGAAAACGCTACTCCTGTTTTAACATGCAGACAGAGAAAGCTTCAGCCGGCGTCCAGACGTCATCCCAATCCATGTGTATTCATCAGCACAGTGGATGGAATTATTCCAGAAAATCTTCCAGCTCTCAGCAGCCATCAAAAAACAGGCAGAGCGACCTGAGTGACAGTGTCACACTAGTTGCTGTCTGGTCTCTCTCACCTCTCTCACTGTGCCTCCTCTTCCTCACACCCAAAACCAAGTGGCTCATTTCCGAATGTGGCTGAGCTTCATGTCGAGCGGCTCATACGAAACCAGATTCCAACTAACGGCTCCATCGTCATTCTGCCGGACCTCCATGCTGCTGGCAGGGCTGCTAAAGACTGAGCCTCCGATTGATGCAACACGCCGTCTAATAATATTGCACCCTGTTGCTACGACAACACCACGCACTGTGTCCGGGAATGCTGTCTGACTCTGTGCCTCTGTCTCTTTAAGAGAAAGACAAATCATCACCTTCTCCATCAATCCTGCCCAACAATCAGTCATCTCCTTTCTTTTATTGGGATTATTGTTTTGTGAATTTTTGTCGATGATTTTTTTTCCTACTTAAGCCCCACTGATGCTAATTAACAATCTGAATATTATTGTTCATGGATTTCTAAATCCAAAATCAGATCATACACACGTACCTCTCGACTGTAAATGGTCTGGGAATTTTTTTTATTTTTTAATTATGACGGTAAGTGGTGGTTACTCAAATTGGACGACCAAAAGATTTGTGGTCCGATTCTGACACAACAACGCCACCTGTTGGTTAAAAACCTTTTAAAATGGAATTCCTTGAATTCTTTGACTTGTTTTTCAGTTCGAGGTGACAGACAGTAAGGATACAAAATAGCATCCTTAGCAAAAGGTTAACTGCTGCCTATGTACTGTCGTGCTGGTGACAGTAAACGAAACAGAAAGAGCAGACACAGGACAGCAGGAGCCGTGTTAATCTTTCTTCCTGCTCAAGGATTCTGGGGACGTCATCTAATTTCAGCAGAAACAAATGAGCAGAGACACGCCTCCTACTCACTCACTATCATGTCCAGAGCGTGAATTTCTAAAAGTGGAGTGTGTTGATGATTGGGTGTGTTCAAACTCACCTAAAAAGGTGTTGGCGATGAACTCTGACACTTGGTTCCCTGAGCGGCTGGTCTCTGACAGCTGCGTCAGCTCACGGTTTAGCATCCTCTTAAACTGTGTGGACAAACACAGAGAAACAAACGGTGGGTCAGTCCAATTAAGACAAACAGGAAAACTTGAATTAGAAGTAAACAGTCAAATCTTCATGTACACATAAATGATCTACATATCAGTGTTGGAAATACTGCATTTTCTGCAAACCATGTAAATTAGATTATCATAATGACAACCATATTAACTATGCAATTTCTACAGTGTGAATACAACACCTTAAAGACACTTTACTGTAAATTAATCAGCTTTGTACCTAACTGTATGTCTTTGAAAATGTCTAAATAAATATTAAATAAATGACTACTATAGAAAAAAAATCCATGTCTATTAATTTGAATTTTTCTTTTAAAATGTAAAATTAAATATAAATAAAAAGATGTTTTTCTCTGTGTCCCTATCACTGATGTGAACTACACAGAGCCAGAACCAGATGTTATGGATCATTTTAACAAAATTAAAAGGGAATTCTTTAAATTGTACATTCATTAAAAACATTTTTTAAAAATCAGAGTTTGGTGTAGGTCATCAAAAGAAATTGTCAAGACTTTGTGTGCTTTTAAACTTGTGTTTTTACTTGTTGAGAATTCAAACCCATCTGTGGACGTCACCTGTTTGTTTTTGTTTGTTTACTAAAATAAAGGTCGTCCAGTTCTAATGTCTCTGCTCTGAGAATTTGACCCTGAACAGAAAAAAGCAGCTGAACATACAGTGTGTGAACATGACGTTACCAATGAAAAAAAAAACCCCAGTAAAACACAGAAGGGGTCAGTGTTTGGCGTTTGACTTTTATCACAGTAGCAGCTTCTACATCGATTATGTAACAGCCTTGGTATGTGGTGTCTGAAGGAGGGAGGGAGGGGGGGCTTTGGGGGGCAGGGTGATGCTGTGATGCTGCAACACACACACACACACACAAACTTAACTGTAATAATTCTACTCTTTGCCTGATGACACAAAAGATATTTTACAAACATCATATTTCACAAACAGCCCAACACACACACACACACACACAGTGACAGAGGCACACACACATTTTGACAAATGACATGCTACAGCCACGGCTCCCAAGAACGTCCTGAACATTATCTGCATTTCTGCCATTCACCATTTTTCTCAATGACACACTGACTGACGCACGCACACACACACACACACACACACACACACATTTTCAACATTCAGCCGGGGATCAAACAGTCAGGCTCACGGAGCTTCCACCTCATCCCAGAGTAAACAACCAAAGCAGGCGGCGCTGCATGTCGCTCACCTGTCTGAGTCTCCGGCAGAGACCAACCCAGAACAACAACGTAAGCATGTTACAACCCACATGTTGATGCTAGGAGTCGGTGAGGTCCAAAAAACATCAAGTTTTCCAGGATTAGAGACGGACTACCATCTGCAGCCCAGGTCCCTGCTCTTCACGAACAACAAGGACGGACACTTTAAAATGAAGTTCCAAGAGTCCCATGTGCTGTCCGGTGGGTCACGGGGGTGGGATGGTCAGAGGGAGGGGACGGGTCGGGGTAAAGCTGAGAATGTGGTGTGGCATGGTGGAAGAAAAAAGGTGATACTGCAGTCGTTCATCCCACTACTGTCACACTCTGTCAATGAGGAGCATGAAGAGAGAAAGAGAGAGAGAGAGAAAGAGAGAGAGAGGCAGGGAGGGAGAGGCTGTGAGAACCCCCCCCACTCCACCACTCCCCCTCCCACCAATCCTCTGACATAGACGCTGTTGCTCCCTCTCTGCCCAATCAGATTTCGCTGACTTCAGGGGCTGGGTGGAGGAGACTTCTGTGATTGGCTGACCGTGAGGTAGAGGAGGTTTGTGTGCAGCAGCCAGACAGTGCAGTGAAAAAAAGGACGATGTAAAGTGTGAGGGAGAAGCTGATCAATTCTCTCAGAGGCAGAAGCCATTCACAAACATCAGTCCAGCAAACTGGACCTTAGGTCCGAGACGTAATTGTTTTTTTATATATAATTATTATATATATATTTTTTTTATATTTTTTTTTCCTACGAACCTCTCGGTCTGATTTGTGTCTTGCAGTTCTTCATCCATAACATATGGAGCAGGTTTTGCAAATTATATTTCATAAATACACTATGTCAGAACCTAATGTCTACTTGTTTTAATCCCACTCTGATGTGCTCTGCTGTTGGAACATTTATACCATTCAGATGATAGACAAGAACAGCTGTTGACATAGACAGAAGAGCTGCCAAGAAAAGAATCAGAGAAGAAGAATATTTGTCTCTGATTGCTCGTTTCACCAATGACTGAGCCACGAATACGAACAGGACGGACTATAATTGCTTTGGTGCAGAGATATCAGAGCCAAAATAGCAATTTTGGGAAGAACATAGTGTCTTGAAGAGCATGAGCCCATCAATCAAGTCCGGTGGACAGATGTAGATCCAAAATGCGATCAAGAAGAAAAGAATGATTGACTTTAAAAGTGCATCGTGTAACGACTAAAATATGCAAGTGAGAAGATACGTATCATCATACATGAAGGCTAAAAAAGGCTTAACATAATAACCACAATGCCTTCACTGACCTAAAAAACAAATTTCAGGTGGTTGAACCTTAGAGCTACATCTGTAACTGTTTATGATTCACCTCTTGAGACATTGTCAGTGCCCAATCCCAAGATAATAACAAGCTATTCAAGATGAACTAGAAAAACAAACACAGAGTTTCCTCTGAACTCTTCCAGTAGAGACAGTTTAACCAGGTGAATCATTCAGCTTCACTTCCATTAAAAACCAGCAGTGACTTAACCCTGCTCATCAGACAACAGTCACCTTCACGGGGGTCTGTACGACCTGTTCAGCCCTCACCTTATTGGATGCCATCTCGCTGACAGAATTTCTTGTCTGCAGCGTCTCTAACTGGTCCAAACACCAGTCCAGCTCCTCCAGTGTCTCCACAGCCAACTTCTGGTAAGGCTCCTCTGAAAGGGCACAGATCAGAGAGAATGAATTGAAATAAATATATTTTTATACCAAGGTTTATTCCTGTGTCATATACAGTCAGCCTTTATGGTTCGTACATCACATATTGACACTGACCTGCCAGACATGGCTTACACAGGGACGGCTGGTTGCTCCCAGAAGGCCGCCTGCAGAGGAACACAGGTAAAGGTGGAAGGATTTTTACCAAGAACTACTGCAGTTTTTTCGTGGACTGTGTTTTTCTGCTCTTACCTGTTGCCCACACGGTCTTGTAGATGTGTCAGAGCTGCAACGTTACTTCGCACGGTTCGTAAACTCGCCAGAACCTTAAATACAAAAAAATCAAATTCACCTTTTGTTGATGACTGTATATATATATTATAATACATTGTACATTATCTTATATATTGAGGGAAATACACTGAAACACTGACCTGTGCGAATGGAGTCACGATCATGTCTTCTCCATGTCTGCAAAATCAAAACCAGACACAAAAGATAAAGATGAAAAAAAAAAAAAACAACTAAATATTTTACCATGTAAATCCAAAGACGTCCAGAAACACAGGAAGAAACTGTTGGTAATAATTCAGTCTCTGCTGTCAGTGCTGTGTTATGGTCTGTGTGAGGATTTATTCTGGGTCTGAAGACGTGAAGGTGACAGACAGGCAGAAGAGTCCTGTACGTTTTTGTTTCCACAACTACGAGTTAAAACCAAACACTGACTTTAACAAAAATACAAACAGTATAGACTTAGCTCATTGTTCAGTGAAATGTGTAACAATGCAGAAACAATGCAGTTCATGTCATTGGATATAACACTGTGCATCCAACCACCAGACCATCTTAAACATTCAAAGGGGGGCGTATTATATATATATGCAGTTTCTTTAAACAACTGTTTTCCTCACCCCACCCCCCACCCCGTCCTGAGCAACTGGTTTCTGTGAAAGGGGGGCGTATTATATATATATGCAAATTAATATGAATTCCGCGATGTCTAAATAAAATGTTAGTGGTATGTTTTGGTCCAAATGCTAGTTTCTTTAAACAACCCCCCCCCTTTACTTTTAATATTTTTATAATAATTTTTTTTATCATTTTAATTTAATGTGGTTTCAGACACACTTCCGGATTTTGACATATTCACTCCACAGACAAAGATCTTTGAACCAAAGTTGCATAATACCCTCCTCCCCCTTTAAATTCCACCACTCTGGTGGTAAACATTCGTGCATTAGTTGATGAACTGATGCTGATGATCTGGATGTGCTCACAGTGACACAACATGCACCTTATTACCATCTGGACATTGAATAAAACCCATGCTGCAGCTGAGGGGAAACTCTCTGCACCTCTGTTCAGCAGAACCTTTAACATCACTATAAAATAATCAGGTTCTATTGGTTTCTTTTGTGTTTTTTTTTTAGTTTAGTAATTGTCCTTCCATGGACTCACATCTCCATCTGTGTCAAAGGTATGTTTAAGGAACATTTTAGTTTTTAAGATAAAAGCAAATTCGATCCAAAGAGGCAGAGAGAAAGTCACAGCAACCTTCACACTGTATCTCACCGAGGAGGCCAATTGACTTCACAGTTCTTCAATCCATCCTCCCTTCAAAAGAAAGGAGCAACAGCTATTGATGGTGGGAGAGGCTACATTAAGACTCTGGTTCAAAGAGGCTGAAAACTGCACAGAAAATACTGAAGTCTGTCTTTTAAAGGTTTTTCTACAGGAGGCCGTTTACGTCAAGTGAGTCCTAGTAGAAACTTCATTCATTTTGCCTGGGAAAATCTGAAGAAAGTCAAAATTTATTTTGCTGAAATGCGTTGAAATATGTCTTAATTTGAAAGATCAGATTTGAAAGATATATATATCAACATATTGGATGTGTACATCATCTGCGGTCAGTAAAACATCTACAGTTGTTCTTGGCAATCTACGCCACAAACACACATTAATGAAGCAGCTTGGGTTTTAAAAAAAAACAACAAAAAAAAAACAAACAAAAACACCATCCCAGAAAGACTCACAGGTCACTCGCAGTTGATGAATTGCGGGACATGGTTTTGGGAGAAAGGTCAAAGTCCGAGTCAGAGCGGTAGAGAAAGGACTCCCGGCGCTGACTGTGAGGGTAGTTGGCCTGTAGTACCAGACCAGAACCAGGACTGGTCTGGCAGTCCAGTGGACTGCGACCCACAGAGAGGCCATTCTCCACGTCAAAACTGCAGGAAAAGACAGAGACAAAATGCATTCGTTACAGTTTATTCTCTGTCCATAAGACAAAGAAGTGACAACATTTAAGCCAGGAGGAATTACATTATATACTTTCACATAAACGGAATGTTTTTGGAGCACGTTTGTGACGACAGCATCACCCTGTCATGACAAGCTGTGACGAAAATGAAGGAGATTTCAAACTTTCTCAGATTTAACGAATGAGAAGCTGACGCAGTTTGAAGCTGAGATAAGAGAATTTTACACACTCTGGCCTTGAAGCCATCGACTGAAGAACTCAATGAGTTTATCTTTCAGAGAACAGTCTTTTGTTTTCAGATGCAACATCATCAAATGACATTATTAAATCTATTTAGTAATCGTTAAGGCGGATCATTAAGGTGGACTGCTCTGGAGTACGTTTCTGTTCAAAGATGGATCTTTCATATCCAGTGGAAAATCTCCACTCTCCGACACCTTAATGTGTTTCATGTTCGTCACAGGATGATTGATAAATGGAGACCTTCTGCTGGGAAGTTA